ATTTGTATAAGTTTGATTGATGTATAAATTTATTATATTTTCAAATTTCAATATTATTTCCAGATAAGAGAAGATTTGATAGTGGTGCAAGTAAAAGGCGGCGGAGAAAAGAATTGGCCGAAGAAGCATGCACCAACTCAAAGAAAATATACTCGTTTTTAAAAAAATCACAAAACACAGTTCAAATTGAACAAGCAAACCAAACTCAAAGTGTGAGTGACAATGGTAACATTGAAAATATAGTTGTTCCAATTGTAGAAGACCCAATTTTGAAACAACAACCAGTAGGAAATTTAAATATTATAAACCAGGAACGGGTTGAAACCGAAATCTTATTACAGGAAAATGCAGGTGAAAATAAAATTGGAGATATGGAAACAGAAATAACTGATCTGATTCATCAAGGTAATCCGTTCAATTTTATTGACATTGGGATTATCAACAAGAACAATTCTTGTCAAGTGAACTCTTTTCTTAAAATTACTTGTTTTGAAATTCCAAATAATATCGTTAAAGACTCTAATCATCATGCATTTCCTTATCGTTTCTTAAACAAAATTCTTGCAAATGGAGAAACATGCAAAAGAGACTGGTTGTGCTGGAGTATTGAAAAACAATCTTTGTATTGTGCACCATGTTTTCTTTTTAACAAAAACGCTTCAAATGTGTCATTTTTCTCTAGTTCTGCTGGATGGGGCATCAGTAGAGGTTGGAGAAGATTGAAAGATCGTATTCCGTCGCACGAAAGTTCAATTTACCATAAAGAAAACTATGCTGCATGGAAATCTGCTAGTAGAGCAGCATTATGTGAAACTTCAGAGGATAATTTACTTTTAACAGAACTCAAGACTAAAACTGAAAATTGGAAAAAAATATCCCAACGTATTCTAGATGTTATTATTTTTCTTTCTGAACGTAGATTAGCACTTTTTGGTTCTAACCAACGAATAGGTGATCGAGCAAATGGAAACTTTTTAGGTTTTTATTATTGAGCTTCTTAGCAAATATGACCCACTTTTAGCTGAGCATGTTAAACATGTTCGAGAATCACAACAGTGTAAGCAGCGAATGCAAGCTCATTATCTTTCAATGCGAATTCAGAACGAATTTATTGATATTTGTAGTTCACACGTTCAAACAGCAATCCTCCTCGAAATTGTGAAAGCAAAATATTTTTCAATAATAGTTGATGCTCCAGATTGCTTGTACAAGGAGCAAACTACTCTGGTTATTCTTTATGTTAAAATTTTAGATAATTCAAACTTTTCAGTTGAAGAAAGATTTATTTTATTTGAAAATTTTTCAAAAAAAAAATGGAAGAGAAATCACTGCTTGAACACTAGAAGTATTGAAAACTTTGAAGCTGGATTTCGAAGCCTGCATTGGTCAAGCTTACGACAACGGTGCTAATATGGCTGGAAAGTATAACGGGGTGCAAGTGGTTTTGATACAACAAAATCCAAACTGCATGTTTTCTAGCTGCGGAAATCACTCATTAAATTTAGTTGGTGTTGATTGCGCTGAATCATGGAAAGAAGCAGTAACGTATTTTGGAATAATTCAGCAAATGTACAATTTATTTAGTAGCAGTCCTCAAAGGTGGGAAATTTTAAAACAACATCTTCCTGTTTCGTTGCATGGAATGTCCAAAACAAGATGGTCAGCACGGATTGATGGTGTTAAACCAGTTGCACAACATTTGAACTCAGTAAGAAGTGCTTTAAATGAACTTGGGGTGCTACATTTAACAGCCTAGGCTAAAATGGAACTCAATGCTATTCAAAAGTATATTTCCAAATTTGAATGCATTTTGATGTCGTCTATCTGGATGAAGCTACTCACAATGATTCATCAGACAAATCTAATCATCGAGGCACGCCATGCAGTCTTGATATTGAAAAGGATAACATTGAAAATCTATGTAATGGCATTCAAAGCTTGCGTGAACAATTTGATAAGATTTTATTTGAGTCAAAATTTGTTGCAAGAAATATTGGTGTTTTGTGTGAGTTTTTAACTAATCGTCATTTTCCAAGTCAAGATGATGCTGAGTTGTATTATAAAATCAATGTATATTTTGTCATCATTGACTCAATTAAATCTGGCCTCACGCAAAGATTTCAGTCTTTACAAGAAATTTGTAAACTTTTTGGATTTCTCAGGCAGTTTAAAAATTTGATCTTGTATTGGCTGCTCAACATTTTCAGCACAAATACGACAAAGAAATATCACAAGAACTTGAAAATGAGGTTTTATTTTTTAAAAGAATCAATGGTGCTAATTTTAAACTAGACTGCACACCAAAAAAATTGCTGGAAGAAATACTTGGACTTGGTCTTTCAGGTGTGTTTCCAAACATTACAATTGCATTACGAATTTTTATCAGCTTGCCTGCATCGATGGCTTCGGGCGAACGCACATTTAATGTTTTAAAGCAGATAAAAAATTATGATCGTTTAACAATGGGGCAGGAACGGTTGAATGGACTTGCTATGTTGAATATAAATTGCGATATTGCACGAAAACTAGATTTTTCAAATATAATTGCTGCATTTTCAGAACGAAAAGCAAGAAAAGCGTTTGTAAAAATTAATTAAAACTAATTCATTCTGTTTTACTTTTAGTGAATTTCTTTAGATTTCATTTTCAAAATGTGACATATTTAACTATTCATTTATAGTGACAAATAATTACATATCGAAAAAAACCAAATAATAAAAACCAATTCATAATTATTTATGCATGAATCATTCATTTGTGAAATCTGAATTGTAAAATTTACAATAAAGTAACAGCGTAACATTCCATCCATACGTCGTACCTTCTTAATTCCCAGGCCTCCCCCAAAATGCGTTTTTAGTAGACAAGCGCGTCTCTTGGGTAGTTGGCTTGATAAAACGTACAAAATGCGCCACATCTGTGTGTGACATTCTGTCTAATTTATTGCATTTAGTTTTAAAGTTAGTCATTTATCGGGTCCTGATCTATCTTGCGTCGCGTTTTGTGCAAATTTTTCTTTTGGGGCCTCCGATTTTTAACTGGTCGGGGCCTCTCCAAACCTCTGAAAGGCCCTGTATATATATATATATATATATATATATATATATATATATATATATATATATATATATATATATATATATATATATATATATATATATATATATATATATATATATATATATATATATATATGGATAGAACACTAGCGAAAAAATGTATTTTTTGTGATTTTATTCATATATCATAATCTAACGATTACAGATTAATTATTTTTACAGATTAACTTTGTTTAATTACTTTAATGTTGTTTATTTATTATAAATTGTGTTTGTTTTATTTTTAGATAATAAAACTGATATAATGGACTTGAAGGAATAATAATCTAACATTACCATAATAATGGTTGGTCAACGATTGGCTCCCAAAATTCATGCATAAATTTTTGTTTTGACGCAAGAGGGTTATTCTACCTGTGCTATTTTACATAGACTTGGACTTCATTGCAGTGCTGTTAGCAGATCAATTGCAATGCAAGCAAAAAGTGGCAATTTTTCTTACCCCAAACCCAGTGGACGCAAGCGATGCATAACAGCTCGGCTTGATAATGCTATCATTCGTGCTGTCAAGAAATCTCCTAGAAAGTCTTCATTAGCAATACAGTCTGCTATGACCCTTAAACACAAACCAAGTACAAGAACAATTCGTAGACTTTTAGTACAAATTGGACTGAAATCCTACAGACCAGCAAAGAAGCCAGTGCTCTCTGCTAAAAACATTTGGGACAGGTTAGCGTTTTGTAATATGTATAAACATTGAACGGTGGACCAGTGGAAGTCTGTAATGTTTAGTGATGAGTCTACAGTATGTCAGTTTTATGCTTTTATTAGATACATCAGGCGCCCACCCGGAGAACGCTACAATGAGCGTTTTGTGGTTCCAACAGTCAAAAATGCACCAAAGGTCATGATATGGGGTGCAATCAGTGCTCATGGCAGAAGTAGTTTATGGTTCATGCCAAAAGGAATGTTTATATATATATATATATATATGTTTATATATATATATATATATATATATATATATATGTTTATATATATATATATATATATATATATATATATATATATATATATATATATATATATATATATATATATATATATATGTTTATATATATATATATATATATATATATATATATATATATATATATATATATATATATATACATATATACATATATATAAAGAAAATAGAATTTAATGAAAATTTAGTTCCGAATAATATTGAATACAACGTTTTGCCAAATAAAGTACAACGCTAAATCAACGTAAATACAACGTTTTGTCAAACGTTTGGCCAACGTATAAAATAAAACGTTGAATCAACGTAGAAAATATAACCATTTTCCGACTTTACAAAAACGTTTATTAACATTGGTTTTTAGTTGTTGGCGACGTCGCATTTGCAACCATAATGATAAAAAAATAACGTTGGCAGCCGATGTTGGGCCAACGAAACGCGCGACATTGTTCTAATGTTTTAACATCGTATGTGTGCTAGCTGGGTTACATATTTAAGTGTATTAACAACCTTCTGCTAACAACTAAATTCTAAATTTATTTGAACCTAAAACGTATTAATCTAGCAACTTCTAGCCTAACTGAAGCCTTTACTACAAATTGCACGTTACTGTTTTTAGTTAAATAAATTTTTAACAAATAAAATGAATTTCCTATAAAAGCTTGTAATAATAAATATAATATAAAACAGAGCTGACACTAACGCTAATAAAACCAAGGCAGTGCCCCGCAGAACTCCTTTTTGCATTTTTTATAATAACTTTTATTTTTACGATACTATATAAATATAATTTTCATTAAAATAAATTTTACTTAAGGTGATTTTATACTTGTTTACAACAAATTATTTCATCACAACTCATTATTATATTATTATAGAAAACCCATACCAAATGGTATTGAAATATATCTTACCCAACCGTTGCTAATGATACAACTGCCCACCACAAGCTTGTTCCAAACCCCCTAACAAACCACTTGCTAAAATCTTTGTTATTTATGCATTCCTACAGCAAATATAGACGTAATTTAAATTTGACGGTATCGTTAAAAAAAAAAAAAAAAAAAAAAAACATTATTAGACACCTAATATAATATATTTACATAAATAATTATAATTTAATATTGTAAAGAATAATATAAAAACCACTCACAACTAACCACACCAGAGCTGAGAATGATACCACGAACCCAAAAGCAATAGATCCAATATGTTTGCTCATTACGATAGCATAAAACATTTTATATATTAGAGTTATTTTCTTTTTATTAACTATTACCGCAATGCCCGGTGAATCTAAAAGCAACTTCATATTTAATTTTTTCTGTTCAAGAACGTTATTATCAGGTTTTCTAAAAACTGGAAACCAAACTGCTTTTTTTTCTAAAATATATTGCAGTTCCGCTGTACCATAGTTTGTATTTTTTAAAATGTTGTAAAACTGTTGTTGCTGCGTAAAATTTATCAAGTTAAAGTTTGCCAGCTCCTCGTTTGGACTGCACAGGTCTTTTAATCTTTTGTAAAGTTTGGGAAGAATGCCATCAACTGTGTTATTATTGCTCATAAAAATAAACGGTTTTATTGGCCAAAACACTATTTGGTCAGGTATTATCATTTGCGTACGATGAAACAACAGCAATAGTAAAAAGCAAGTTAACATATTTGATAACTTTTCTTTAGTAGTTAAAATGTAAAACAGTTAAAACACCTGCACATAAAAAAAGTATATATATGTATACATATAACAGAAAAAACACAAAATTAAATATTCTTATAGATAACTAAACATTCTTTCCAGGTACTTATAAACAACTTATTTTTATCTATCTAAAGATTTACTTTCATGTATCTATTTTTATCTTAATTTTTATGTATCTACCGCTTTATTTTTATGTATCGTGCGTTTCTACTACGTTATTTTCATGTATATTACTTTTCTTCAACGTTATTTTTATGTGTCTTACGTTTCTTTTATGTTAATTTTCTGTATTATACGTTTCTTCTATGTTACTTTTATGTATCTAACGTTTTTTCTTTACATTATTTTTATGTGATTGCGGTGCTTTGCAATAATTTCTTATAAATTTAACGATTAAATAACCGAATGAAAAACTTGAATGTGCAACTGTTTTAATGAAATGTATTGGTAATCAATTATCTTTGCTTTAATTATTTATTCACAATCTATTTGAAGTTGAGCTTTGCATTTTTTAGTTGAAAATTGCATTTATATTTTAAAACGTTACCTTGGAAATTATGTTACCATCATGTTTTCATTTTAAACGTGCAATTTTTATATATATATATATATATATATATATATATATATATATATATATATATATATATATATATATATATATATATATATATATATATATATATACGCAGAGTATGCAACAAAGTCATTATAAAATGTATAGTAGCAATAAAGCAATAGTTTAATTAAAATAATTTGAACAGGTTCCAAAATATATATATATATTACTACCTATTAAGAATAGAGATTGACTGACTCGAAAATTTGATACTTTTCCAATTCCGATTCTTTTGCATAAAGTATTTACCTTTTTTAGAGTTTATGTTTTTTTTTTATTAAACTGCTATTTTTTACTTTTTTAAAGTAATTAATATATAAATATATTAACTATTAAATATTAATTTAACCAATACACTGATATCAATCAAGCTAAGCTACGGAATCAATGGAAAATCTGCCATTTTTAAATTATGGTAAAGTTAAAATGATTGGTTTAGTCTAACCCTTGGTCACCGATGAAAAAAATTTACATTAAAATGCTGCTGATTTTTAAAGAACTGGGAACGTTTAACCTCATTGGAAAAGATGTACATCTTGCAAATTCTTGAGAGTCTGTGGAAATGGTAGAATCAAATTCGGAATCAGCCTATAATATTTGTAAAATTAACTCTTTCTAAGAAATTTCTAAGAAAAATAAAAATTTCTTTAAATCCGTGATTAATCAAATCATCCCACTCTTTTGTTAACTATATAAAATTTACTGATTTTTATTTTTATTTATATTTTGCCATGTTTATTATAATTTGAAAATGTTAATTGTTTTATATAACAATTAACATTTTCAGTTTAAGATTTGTTAAACATCTTTACTTTTCACATTTTTGTAAATTCATTTTTACTCTATATTTTTTATTTATTTCTATTTCATTTTTTATTTCATATTTATCTAAAAGCAATATGATTTACAAAAAAATCTCATAATATGAAAAAGTGATTGCGTTTGTGAGCAGAGGAGGATTTATAATTTTAAAAATACTAAAGAATTTGATAAATATCATAATCAACTGCTTTTTAAAAATACTTTTAAAAGTTTGAATCGGGTTTATAGTTTTGCTATTATTTGGATGAAATAAATGTGGCCTTCGGTATATGTTATTGAGAATTCAGAATAGATTTAACAGAAATAACAGTTTCTCGCTTTACATTATTTAGTTATTTTTGGTGGACAGTATTTTTGGTGAAAAAGCGTTATTTTCAATTGCTCTTATTTTGAGGCTTTCGCATGAAGTTATTTTAATTTCAGGTTTTTTTAAAAGTCTATTTTTAAAAAGCTGTTTCCAGTAGGTTGGAAAAAACCGTAATTTTTTTTTTTTGCCATACAAATTTATTAATAACATAAAACATATGAAGAAGACATTTGTCCTATCGCCTAGCCCCTTAATCTATACCGTAATACACAATAATAAAATATAAAAATCGTAAAACTACAGCACTACAGCATATAAAATATTGTTATATAGACTTTTTATATTTATAAGAAACAAACAACAAACAAACAAAAAGATAAAATTCATAGGTCCTGAATGCCCCTCTCTAACTATGAAAATCTACTTTTTTTCTTATTTTAACATTACAAAAGGACAAAAATTTAATTCCAAAGTAAAAGCAAATACTAAAGTATAGCAAAAAATTATATACTTAAAAAGCATGCACGCAAATACTCATAACCCTGAAACTTTTCTTTTAAACCAGTATACACCTTTACATATACATCAGAAGAAACCATGCTCTACGTTGCTCATCAATAGTCTTTGCTTCAATTTGGTCTTAAACTCATTAAGCGTTCCAATTGTTTTAAGATCATTAGTTAATATTTTATTCCATACTTTTGGTCCTCTAGTAGATATTGAAAATTTAGTAGCCGCAAAATAATTTGTGGGCTGATGGTAGCTGTTATACGAGTATCTGGTTAAGTATCTGTTCTGATTTATTTTAAATAGTGGGTTAAATATTTTAAGAAATAAATTTTTATTAATTTTGAACATAAATATAAGAAGATGATAGATGTTTATTTGGTAGATATCCATTACATTTAGCTTAATAAACAAGGCTTGGGAATGTGTAAAACGTCCCACATTGGACATAATTCTGATTACATGTTTTTGCTTGTTAAAAAGTTTTTTAGCCAGTATTAAAATCAGGAGAAGACGCTAATACCTCCAATTACAGACCAATCTCCATAATATCATGCTTTTCAAAATTATTAGAGCACATTATGTTTAAAAGATTGTATTACTTTTAGGCTGCAAACAATATTCTTTATAATAAGCAATTTGGATTTAAAAAGAATCGCTCTACTGATCAGGCAATTGTTCATCTTGTTCAAAATATATTTAAATCGTTTAATGAAAATAAATATACATTAGGTGTATTTATTGATCTCAGTAGAGCTTTCGACACTGTCGATCATTTCATTTTATTAAAAAATTAGAAAACTTTGGTGTAAAAAATATAAATATTTCATGGTTTAGAAGCTATCTGACAATTAGATCGCAATACATTTCTTACAATCATGGTAAAACGACTGATATGAATATAATGTATGGGGTCCCTCAAGGTTCTATATTGGGGCCACACCTATTTCTCATCTATATCAATGGTTTAAGTAAAGCATGCAGTGAACTAAATACAATTTTATTTGCAGATGATGCAAACCTATTCTATGCACATAATGATATAAACATTCTGTTCAAATCTGTAAACAAAGAGTTCATAAATCTTACTGATTAGTTCAGTGCAAATATATTATCACTAAATATAACCAAGACGAAATATACTTTTTTCCATCGTTTTCTTGATCGAGATAATATTCCTTTAAAACTTCCAAAACTCCGTATTGACAATCAAGACGTAAAAAGAGAAATCACTTTGAAATTTCTCGGTGTTCTGCTTGATGAAAATGTGACGTGGAGAAATCACATACATTATCTCGAAAGTAAAATCTCTAACAACATCGGTCTGTAGAGCAAAACCTTTTTTAAATCCATATTGCTTAAAATTTTATATTTCTCTTTCATTCATTGTCATCTAAATTATGTAAACATTGCTTGGTACAGTACAAATAAAAATCCAATTTTTTAAATATATATTTTCACAACTGCATATTAGTTACAATTTTTTCACATCGTAATGTAAGCAAAATATACTTCCGTTACAAAAGATTATATTTAACCTAATACTGCTAAAATATATCAAACAAAAAAAAAAAAACAGAAAAAATAACATTTAGTTAAAAAGAAGAATAATTGTAAAAAAAAATAAATAATAAATATCAAGAAATAAAATAATTTTAAGTTTAGAAAGCCTTATTTGAATATATTATGAAAGACTTGTTAAAATTATATTGTTTTAGGGAACTCGTAGAAGACTAAATAAGTCTTATCGGGAACCTTGGGGTAATACGAAAGATACACATTAACATTGTGACTCTTATGCACAAATATTTTAAATATAATTGTGATAAAGTATTTCTAATAGCGTACCTTTGTGCTCTAAAAATAGAACTACTTAATGTAGCGCAAGTGATTATGGGATTGATATTCAGACAAACAATTTAATAAACATGAAGAGCAAAGGTACTAACAAAAAGGTAAGAAAGTACTGTTCTTGAGGAAAATCAGATTCTAGATATAGTGGTAGATTACCTCCAGGAACATTTTTAATAGGTCTCCTAAATCTGGAAATAATTAGCAAATAATGACTGACTGGAAAAAACAAATGAAAACTTATAAATTAAAAACATGGCTTCATATGTTTGATAGAAAAGATTTTAATAGCATTGATGAATAAAAATAAAAAAGTAGTAGATAGGCATTATTTGATTTTGTTGGTTCAGCAAAATATGATTTAAGTTACTAGAATTTCACACCAAAAGATATTACACAAAATAAATCTAACTAATTATAGCCCTGTTTTACCTTTAAATTTATAAGAAACATTTATAAGAAACATCTTCGTTAAAACCATGATGCTGAAGTATGAAAAAAATTGAGAACATCATCTGTTTAGTAGCAAATACAAATTTTAATCCTGCATAGTTATATTTTAAACACAGCAAAAAAATATAAAATTAGTTTTTTAAGGATATTTTTAAAATACTTAGTAAAACAATAAGCAGTGAATAATAAACTCTAGACTCAATTACTCAACTCTAGACTCAATTACTCAACTCTAGACTCAATTTGCCTTAAATCTTCAGGCTGTTTTCAAATTTCTCAATAAAAGTGTGTAAAATAAAGCTTAAATAATTTTTTTTTTACATTGCTATAAGGGCCCTAAAATTAAAGAGACATTTAAATTATACTCCCTTAGGTATTGAATTTCTTTACTAATCTATTTTTATTCCTTTCATATTGGTGAAAAAAGGCTGACACCCTTTAAATTTTAACAAATAAAACTATTTAAATAAATTATTACAAATTTGAGATCCACTGTAAAACATCAAGTTAAAAATATAATAAATAAAAAACTATGGTCAAAACTCAAGTCAAAACAGCAGTTTCAATTGCAAATCAAATGCTTAATCGTTTCAAAAAAGCTTTTCGTAGCCTCAGGCTAGTTTTATGGAAAACACTGTACCTTGCATACATTCGTCCACATCTAGATTTTGCAGTACAAGTTTGGTCTCCTTACCTAAAAAAAGGTATTGCAATGATAGAGGAAGTCCGAAGGCGTGTAACGAAAATTATATCTGAGATAAAACATCTACCATATGAAAATGCTGAAACTAACATCACTTGAGGATCGCAGAAAAAGAGGTGACCTATTCCAACAGTTTAAATTTATTCACCAGATTAATGAAGTCAACTTTCATTTCCCTCAAACCCTACTGAATTCAACAACAAATTATAATCTCCGTGGACACACAACTTTTGCCTTAACTAGTTAAAGGTTGCATTGAACGTGAAAATTTTTTTACAAACAGAGTAACAAAACACTGGAACGCTCTTTCACAGGAAGCACTTGACTCACCTTCTGTATATTTCTTTAAAAAATTTATATCATAGTATTCTTGACCAGCTGCTTTGTGCGGCTTATCTGTGTCAACATAGAGGAGCCTGATGTAGCTCTTCTTCATTGGTTTAGATTACATTTACACTACAATATGTACATAGAATTGTTTTTTATTCTTCATTATAAACATTTGACATGGTTATTTAATGTACACTTGTACTTGAACTTTATACTAATTTTGAAATAAATAAATAAATAATAATAATAATAATAATAATAATAATGATAATAGTATGTAAAATGAAATTACGGTGGCGACAAAATAAATAGCACAGATCGATGTTTAATATGTAATGAAAAATTTTCCAGAGATCTGTGTTTTTTAGATCTAAACTTTTTTAGCCTAACAAAATATTAGTTTTAGAAGATAAAATTACTAATTAAAAAATATATTAACTTAGTTGAAAAAAAGATTCTATCATATAAATGATTTAGGGGTACAGAATAAGGGGACAATTTAAATAGCACACCCTGTTAAAGAATCATCATTTTGTCCGTTTGCTACAAAAATCATAGAAATTCTATGTATAAATAGTTAAGAAAACTTTATTTGAGGTAAATAATATTTAGGTATCCTTTTCAGTCAATAAATGCGACGGTCCATTGACGAGGTCAGTTTTTGGTATTTAGGCGTAATAGTGTCCCAAGCAGCTTTTTAATCAAACCAGAATTGGTCTACATTTGTTGCAGTTGATCGATTTATGTTTCTGTCAACTTCCTTCCACAAATTTTCTATCGATTTAAGGTCTGGTGACCTAAATCCGATAGAAAATTTGTGGAATCTGGTGGTGTGGGTCACTCCAAAACATCAATTTCCAACGCTTTAAACCACGTTTAACACTTTTGGCAGTGTGCTTGGGGTCGCTGTCTTGTTGGAGTTTCAAAACCGAAGGAAAATATTCCTTGACATAAGGCAATATGACGTTTTCTAGTACTTCTTTGTACCTGTGTTGATCGATTGTCCCTTGAATTCTATGCAAGAGGCCCACGCCACTCCATGAAAAACTGCCCCAAACAATAACCTTACCACCACTATGTTTTACAGTCTTTAGAGTATACAGAGGGCTTAGATGAATCAATATTGTTAAATAAATTATTAGAATTAATAACATTTTTATGAGAACAACCCAATCTTCGAGCTATTTCAGAGTTATTCAATTTTTGATCTCAAAATGCCTTTACTTGTCCTCGAAAGACATCTGTTCCATGTTTTTTTTTATGTGTCCCATAGTTAAAAAAATATTATTTTTGAAAAATGAATTACAAGTTTACCCTTAAATTACTATGTATAATGATTTTCTTTTAATATAATATAAGGACTTTTTTAAAGAAAAAGTAGGTATGTGCTTTTTAAAATGACTTCAAAAATATAAAAGCTAAAATGCTCAAAATAAGCAATTTTGATAGTTATAAATGTCTAATAAGTAGTTTTGTTCAAAAAAAGAAACTTTGTTGATGCTATAAAAGTTAAAAGCAATTGCTATAAAAACCTTTCTATTAGGTTTACAAAAAAGTTTATATAAATCCGATTAAATTAATTTCTAATTTACTTGTCTTTTAATCACCCTTAGCGACAATAACTGCCATACACATTCTTGGCATTCTACTGAACAACTTATCCAATTTATCAAAGTCAATTTTATGCCACTAACTTATAATTGTCCACACCTTCTGCATCGTTATGAAAACTATTCAGATATGTAGCTATGAAAATTATTCAAAATTGTAGCTATGAAAATTATTCACATATGTAGCTATGAAAATAACTGTTTTGACAATATTATAGGGCTAAATACATTGATCAATATACATTGATCAGTCAAAAATCTTTCATAACAGAAGCAATTATCTTTTCAGAAGTTGATGGCATATTAACTACGTAACCAGTTAACAAAACATAAAAAGTAAAAATGTTATATGTGCACTACCAAGTCAATTTGCAATCCAGTTGCATCTTGCTGTTTTAACAGTTTTTAAAGTTGCATGTAACTGTTTTGACTACTAATAATGCTTACTGTGCCAATTATGTCCTATGACATTGTATTTCCTTTAAATGGTAGACGTGTGCGTAAATAATAAGTATCCACAGAAGAATCAATTTCATTTATAGTATTCGAAGTTAAAATAATATTGTCTCAAATATTTATAATGCAACAGGTATCAAATTTTTTTATCCTTTCTTAAGAAGACATTATTTTATTAGTTGCAGTTAGTTTTACTTAAATCGACATCTTTTTCCATCATTTTTTGTCCATGACACTCAACACACCATTTTATCTTATCGACATAGAATTCAAAATTATACATTTTTTAAAAAATGTTTTAGGATCCTTTTTTCCAATAAAAAATCTCGCTTAAATTTCTCTCTAATGCCAATATATTCTTATATAAATTCTTATATAAGAAAAAAAAAGAAATACACTTTATAGAGCAGCTATGCTTACATTTTTTTTTTTTTATTTTCTTTTAATATTTTTTAGATAGTTATATATGAATCCGACTTTTCTTTCGTTGTAAATTGTTTTAGTTCAAACTTTGATTTATCATGTGAATTAGAATAAATCTATGTAATTATCTATATTAAAAACAAGATTTTTAAGTTTTGATTTTAAAGAAAATATATATTGTCAAGAAGAGTAATTAAGGTGCATTTCGGAATTAATATGTTATAAAAATAGAGGCCGAGATAAGAGATTTTTTTTTTTCGGGGTACGATAAAGTTACCAGTTGCACTTGTTTTTAAACATATTGGTAGTTGAATGAAGAAGTTTTCTGTAAATTGTGAAGGAACTAATCCCATTTTGTATTTTGGCTTAAATAGTATATTAGCAAAGGTATTTATTTCATAAATGTTAGGCGTTTTCATTTTTTAAAATAGAGGTTCAGCATGTGTATGCTTGTTTTTATAATGTATTATTTTATAAGCATGTTTTTGCAGTCGATAAAAAGACCAAGAGTTAAATTAAGCGATCGCAAAATGAAAAATCCGGAAAAACATCTGGTCTTCAAAATTTTAGTTTATGCGAAAAAATTCTTTGTTTTCAAGGGGCGAATCAACTTAAGTTTGTTAGCGAAAAAGTTATAAAAAAAAGAAAATAAAAAATTACGACTAAAAAAGTAATGACACTCGAGTAACTAATTGCATTATTAAAGTAATTACACTATAATAGTGTTATTACTTTTATAACGCACTTATAACTTTTATAATTCATTCTTTGTTCAAACAACATAAGTAATTTTAAATTTTAATTGAAGTAGAAAAGCATCTAGAAAAATATAGTGGATATTTAAATAATATTAAAAACTTATTAAGGAACTTAAATAGCTTTATTAAAAAGTAATGTATAAAAAGTTCAGTATTATGAAAAACATTACTAATGGTCCGTAAAAACGCGCGTTAATTTTAAAGTAAACCAATAAAATGTTTTTAGGGAGTATCTAAAACGCCGAATTCTAAAAAGCCGAAACGCCGATATGCCGAAAAACCTTCAGGAGAAACTGAATAAAAAACGGAATGAAAGCAATAAATAAACACCGAATTAATTTTTACAAAGTGTCTGCATGCCCGGCAGCCGGGTAGTAAAAACGTTAAACCTACATGCCCGGCAGTTTAAGTACGCATGCGCGTAATATTGCTAGATTATTATTTTAAATTTTTTCCCTCGTGGTAACTTATATTTACATTTTTTGTAAAATATAAAATATATAATAACCTAATATAAGAGATATATATATAAATTGTACATATAAATTTGTATTTGCCTCGTATTTACTGTCATGGAAACTTACAAAGAACTATTGGTAAGAGAAATAGTTTGTTATTGTTGTTTTGTTTTTATTTTTAATGACTAAAATATACTATATTAGTTATATTAGGTACGTAGCATGAAAATTTTAAATTAATTAAACATTAGATTGTTATATATCATTTTAAAGAGCTTTAATACAGTATTCTAAAAGTGAAAAAATTATCAAAATCGAGCAATTTGACAAAAAGTTATAACGTTTTATGTACCGATTTTTTGATATATGGATTTGTTGAAGAAACTGTGGTCAAAATAATATTTTTCTTGACTAAAAACATCATAAATTTGTCAATTCTTATCTAAATGTCTATAACTTGGTATCAAAAGATAGGTGTTAGAATAGGCTACAAATTTTTATTGGTCGCTAGCCATAGGGCGTATCGGGGGGCTAGAGGGGGCACCAAACCAACAGCTTACCCGGTAATAAATGCAAATTTTCATAAATAAAAAAATAATTTTTTTATGGAAATTTTTAATTTTCATATGCAAGAAGTAGTTATAATTTGCTTTAGACCATTGCCAAGTAAGAGAAGTTTATTTTTGTGTTATGGTGGGTGTAAGGGTGTCAGTTTAACACACCCTATAACTAAAAAAACATTTTTATCTTTATTAAAAAAAAGTAAATCTAATTATAATTACAAAAACTTTTTTTTAAATAATAACAAAAATTTCTCGTCTTCACACTAGTAGCGCACATTTAGAATCAAGGGAAGGGTGTGTGCTACAGCGCCTTCCAACCTAAATTAAAAATTACATTTTTATAATGCGATTTAGAAAAATTTAAATGCTATTATATAAAATAATAAAAACTATTATAAAAACATATTTTACCACATTACAAGATGCATCATTTTACCACATTATAAGATGTTGCCATTCTTTTTGTAAATCAGCGTTCGAATACCTCCCTTCCACCTAAAATAGATATTTAAAAATAAAAATACTTTAAATTTCAACAAATACTTACTTGCGTCTTGGCTTTTAGTGAATGATTAAAATTTTAAGTTTCATCAATGAAACTAAATAATAATCATTTTTAACAATAGACACGACGTGAACGTAAGCCAGAGCCGTCTATCAAAAAAATTGCAAATCACACCATTTACAGTACCTTTTCTGTAAGTCACACGACTTGTGGTACCTATTTTGCAAGTCACACCACTTGCATTACCATATTTGCAAGTCACACCACCTGCGGTATTTTTTGGCAAGTCACACCACTTGCAGTTTCCTTTCGGCAAGTCACACCACTTGCCATTACTATTATGCAAGTCACACCACTTGCGGTATATTATTGCAAGCCACACCACTTGCAGTACTTTATTGCAAGTCACACCACTTGCTGTATCTGTTTTTCATCGTCATAGTTACCTAGTATTGAAAATAAAAATTATATTTTACTACTTTATAACATACACTAGTGGCCTACATTTCAAATCAGTGAAAAAATTCGGACCACCCCCTCTCTCCCTAGTAATCCAAAAAAACATAAAAATGTTTCAAAACAAAAGGAAAAAATTGAAATTATGAAAAGAAAAAAAAATGCTATTTAAAACAACAAAAACAATTTAAAAGAAATATCTCACCACATTGGATGCAACAAAGTATCCGTTTTTCTATACTCTATTGCCAGTCACACCACATGCAATACTACTTTTTCTATTAGACAGTAACATTAAAGCACAATAACATTAAGTAACATTAAAGCATATTGAATTAAGAAAATATCAACTCTCCTGATACAATATCAGCAGCAAGTTGGAATTTTTTCATGCAATGGTCAACAGCTTCTGAATCAGTTTCATCTTTTTTCCAATAGGAAATAGTATAAATTCTGTTATCTTTTCTTTTATTGACTTTTTCTACTATCCCATCATAAATGACAGACTTGCTATTATCTGAATCAAACCATTCATGACAGAGTTCTCTTCCAACAATTCTTTCATACATTAAATCATATAAGTCATCAAGTTGCTTAGTAGACAAGTGCTCGTATAAATTCTTTATTTCATTAAAAGATAGCAAACTCAGTTCTCGTTCCAACTTCCTTTTTTCTTTTTCATCCATTTTTTGCCTTTTGCATGTCTGTCTTTTTGAAATCTCTGCTCTTAATGCAGTATAATTCAGTCGATTTGTTATTCTTTTTATACGAGCTGCTTTAATAGACCACTTAACTACATTTTCTCTCTCTATTTGGTCAAGACTATCAAGATAATCCATAGTCATATTCTTTTTAGATCGCAATTTGCAAGATATAAAACAAATAGTTGCATTAGGGGATCTCCCTTTAGCTTCACTAAACATACCCATCAACTCTTCACTATCTATGTTGTGAAGCCTTGCACTAGCTGTCTCCTCCATAAATTTAGATGTAATAGAAATGGAAAAGTATCTTTCATATTGTCGAATCAAGACATCCTCCACTGCCTTAAGACAGGCAAAAGTCATCTTGATAAGCTGATCATCAATAGCGCATAGAGTTGTAATTGGTTCTAAAATCTTTGGGGGAAGCTTTTTCTCAAAAAAATCAGTTGTTTTGCTAAACAATTCAGCTGGATTGGATTTGCAATCGCTTATTGTTTCCAAAACATCTTTAACTACCTGGATACCAATGACATGATCAAAGTTTGCATCTTCAGCTGATACATAAAAATTAGTCATCCATGGCCCAGTGAGAAGTTTTCCAAATAAACCAAGAACACACATTTGTTTTATAGCAGTTGTGTTACAAAATGCTGCACGCAGAACTGTTTGTAAAGTACCACATTTTACTGTTCCAGAGGTCAAAAAACATAGAAAATCATTATAGTGTTTAATAAAAATATAACAAGTATGGAAAAGAATGTGGAGACGGTTTCCTCTATATCTTGGAATGATACCCCTATTTAGTTTGTTATTGTCTAAAAAATCAACAAATCCTTTTGGATCGCCTTTGACATCTTTAAACCTCATTTTGTTCATAGCCAAAACAATTTTAACTGCCATACAATCATATCCAAATAAATCACAATATTCATTTTCTAGAGACTTTAATGCTAATCGACATTCAGTAGCAATTGTGTCAAGAGGGTGCAAATGGCAGTTTAGTTCATTTAGAGTTTTTCCCCATTTTTCACAAAGTTTGCTTATAGTAAGGTGGTTGGCTGCAACTCTGTCTGACATTGTGTTTGATATATTTGAAATAATCAAACTTCGACAATCATCATAGGAGAGCATATGAAAATTGGAATAAATTGAAGCCATATTATCCACTGCATTACCTATATGTTTTTCATAATCATCAGACGTCCCTCCAGGCAATTGGTCTAAAGCAATGACCTGACATTTACTTTTTGACGTTAAGTGGACACTATTAATATGAACACCTTCCTGCGTGGTGGCGTCAAACCCAAGAGTAAGATTTGTATTGGAGATGGCCCACTCTGCTGCTTGCATGTCAGATATACAACCAAGCTCACGAGCCATTTGCTCAACAGTGATACACTGGGGAATATGCAACAAACCAACACCAAAATATTGTGCAATTTTTTTCAATAGAATTGGAATGTTACCTGTTGGAACATTACACAATAACATGCTATAGATTATCATTCTAGTTTGTATTGAGTAAGCTTTATTATCTCCTGAAGTAACTGAAGCAATACGATCAACCTCCTCTATTTGGGTCATATCATTTTCTAATCTAGCAATTTCCATTTTATTTTCTCTACTAACAGTATTATGTTTGAGCATTACTTGTCTTAGCTGTTCTCTAGCTTCAATTTTCATTTCCTTTTTTTTCATTACAAGATTTCGAATACGCCTATTGTAGTAACATGATTTAAATTTTTGTTTCAAATTTCTAACTTCAGCTCTTAAAGCTTTTATAATTTCTTCTTTTCTTTTAACGCTTTGTCTTAAAACTTTTATTTTGTAGGGCATGTTGTTCAATTTAGATTTCAATAATGCTATCTGGTAACGTTGTTCTTTAGAAGAGTTAGCTAATTGTGATGACAAATAAAATAACCGACTCTGTAACTTTTTATTTGTAGGAGTCATTTTTTCTCGTAAATTATACAGATTTTGTTTGTTTTTGCTATTGTTTGTGGGAGTTAGCTTTGCACTACTTACTGGAGATATAAAACTGATATTTTCTGATGATGAGATTGAAGAACAAGAAACAGTATCAATTGGACTAGAGGTAAGTGGCAATGAATGTGAAATTGTCAGCACCGGTGCATGAAACACAAATGGCTTGTTGCAAAACTCAGCTATATCAGTGGCATTTCTTGAAAAGTTGTAGGACCATTTTTTAAATACACTAACAAGATTTTGGATTTCATTTTTGCAAGTGTTAATGCTAAAACACTCATAAACTTTTGCAACAGTTTTAGTAAATAACTCTCCATTGTTAATAAATATAAAGAGTATATGCCCATTTCTACAATCAATGCTCGTTTCGGTAGCCAATGTAAAGTTAGCAATTATATATTTTTTTAAATTGCCAATAAGCATCATTTTTGTCTTGGGAGGCATGATAACTTTAAAATTATAAAGTTATATATAGGATAACTACATAAATATAAAAAAATATAAAAATGAGGTAATAGTACAATAAAAGTTTTAAATACTGAATACTTTTGGTATATGCACAACAGTTGGGTTCAAAATTTGAACTATAAACACTTTCTATATAGCACAGAACTATGTTAACTTCTTTAATAATTTTTAATAAAATCTAAACATAAATATATAAACTTTTTTTAAATTGTACAACAATATAAAATATATATTACGAATTTTCTTTTGCACTATGTAAAAATATACAAAATATACTAATGTTTGAAATCAAAATCAAAAATCTAATACAATTTAATCCTTATTTTTTTCACAGGTTTTAATACATAAAGGAAATGTTAACTTTATTTAAATAGCAAAAAAAATGTAAAGTTATATTAGATAATTTTTTTTTTAAAAGTAAACACTTAAATTTCTTACAAGTAAATATAGCTAAAGCCCCAACTGGTTGTTACATTACATATTAGATTAGTAAAACAAGGGTGGGTGGGAATAAATAGACAGGTGACAATTTCCTTCCATATCTAATAAATGGTAGGTCTAAAAAAAGGTAATCATTTTTCAAAAATTAATATAAAAATACCTCCATTGTACTAAGCACTTTTACTGAGTGAAACATTCTTGGAAATTCAAATATTGACGTACTTTGTAAGTTACTTTATGTTCTGCTATATTATTAGGAACTATAATAACTAATCATTATTTAACATTACAAATTAGGGTAAAAATATTTAAAAAAAAAACATTTTAATCATATGGATTTTTTTTATTTGAATAAATGTCCAGTTGCAAACTTTAATTTTTTAATTGTTGATGTAAAAGTTTGCAACTGCAACGCCTCTACCATCACTATTGACTCCTTTGCTACTACCACACATACAACCCTTACACCTACTTTCTTTTCTTATATTTTTTTCAGAACTTCTAGGATGGTTCCAGTAATCTCTTTTGCAATCATCTTTTTTATTTCGGTTCCAAGCACCCTTGTATGGAGATTTAACAGACCACTTAAAAGATGAACTGTCTTGCCCCCCACACCTGACCCAACTCTTAAAGGATTTATTAGAGTAAGGCCCAGGGTGCCTGGACCTGTACTTTTTGTAGTCGCTGTATGTTAAACCTAAAACAAACTAACAATACATATTTTTAAAAAACATTTACTAAGAATTATGTAAAAGTAAAAATTTTAATTTTTACAACTACTATAGGTTTACAAAAACAATTAAGCCCCATATACAGTAACAAGATTAAAACTACAGAAGCAAATAACAAATAACATAAACATACTTTTACTGGAATAAGAAGGCCTCACTATTGATAAAAGTATAATAACAAAATAACCAATATTTAATTTTTAAATTCGTTAGAGCAAATAATGAAACAAATCACATGATGATAAAAATTACACAAGAAACCATTAATATTAGGCTTACTTACTAATTAAAGTTTTTTTTTTTCCTTCAATATATCTAAAAAGTAAAAGTATTGCGGTTAAACGTAATTAAAGCAAACATAGAAACATCTTCAAAGTTATAAATTAAAACTTTTTTCACCCGGTCGAGCCAATTTTTTTTCTAACTGATCTAGAGGTAATAAAAATAATTCAAGTTAAAAAAAATTATCATTACATTATAACAATGTTTTATAGAGACACTTGTAAAGTGAAGTTTTTAAGTTAGATCAAGATAAAGTTCTGTGTAATAAAACAAAGTTTTAAGGACGAGGGATATAGGTAAATACTTTTTGACATAAATTTAATAGACTATATAAATTAAGTAAAGTTTTACTATATTATAGTAAAACTTTACTTACCCATTCGATCCAATCTTTTTTCTGAATGATCTACAGTAAATAAAAACAATACAAACTAAAAGAAATTAATTATCAGTACATTAAAATATTTTAATAATCGTTTATAATGACAGTTTTTGAATATGTTTTTTGGTTAGGTAAAGATGAAGTTCTACATAATGGCACATAAAGGCACTTAGGTTTTGACCTTTTTTATTTTCATTTTTTGAATTATCATAACAACACTTTTAAACTTGTGGTTACAGCACAGGCATGATAACATCAGAATATGATGTCTGTTATAAGTTATGACACATCTGATTCAGATGTGTCATAACTTATAACAGACATCATAAAGTCTTAAGAATGAGTTACATTATGTAGATCTACAAACCAATTAACTAAAATCTTTTTTTAACAATACAAAATGACAAATAATTCCTGATATAATATACTGACTAATTTTACGAAGTGCTTCATTATCTAAAAAATAAATTTTTTATGATTAAGTAATTTTTTATTACTAAATTTTATATAATTAAGTGATAAGAATAATATTTTTTTTTTTATATTATAAAAATAATTGTTTATAAAAATATATTAATTAAACCTTTACGCTGTACTCTTTCATCAACAATGAATGGATAACTCATTATTATTTAAACTAAATCTAAATCAGATTAAATTGAACAGTTATCTAGATTATATTGCTAAATGTTGTTAACGCAATCCCCCTCATCCGCCCACCGTTTAACTGTTAAAAAAGAAAAATTAGCTACCAAAAGTGCTGGTTAAAATAAGGATTGTGCTAATTAAAATTAAGCAATGAAATTTGGCAGGTGCATAAAAAATGTGTAAACTTAAAAATGAGAATAGGTAGGAAAATTTACTATGCATTTTTTCAAGGTTTACTAAACGTCTAAAGTATTACGAAGTTTTGAATGTAAATAAACTCAATTATAAAGTTTGTCATTGTAATAAAAAGACATATAGAAATAAAGTTTAATTACTCTAGATTTTAAAAAATATCTATGTTGATATAAAATTCTAAAAAATAAGGCTACAAAACACCACCATACCATGCTGTCTAAAATTTTTAGTCGAAAAACGGAGAACAGTTTTTTGGTACAAAACTCGGTACCATAAAACGCGTATTTCTACGTACCTAGTTATATAGTATATTATACTGCTAATATAGTATAGTACTATTATATGATATACTGATAATATAGTACATACCTCTAATATAGTATATTATATATGTTTTATTGACTATATTATGTAGTCAATAAAATAATTATACTCTAGTAGATTTATGAATACTAGCAGTTTATATATTCTATATACTGCAAGTAAACATATATATATATATATATATATATATATATATATATATATATATATATATATATATATATATATATATATAAATGCCTAATCATTTTAAGTAGCTTTGGTAGTTCTAAAACACTAGTAATGTAAAGTTAAAGATTTATGACAGTATCTCCTGACATAAGTTATGTCATAATTAACACCAGACATAAATACAAAATCTTACACAATGACCTTTTTACTAAATAACCAAAAAGCTTTATTCAACTTGTTTTGTTCATATATTATGACAAAAACTGGTTTGGGAAAACTAGTGTTTTCTCAGAAATTGAATAACAGTTTTTTAATCTCTTCCCCCCCAAAAAAAAATTGGATGGGCATCTTTCTTTTTTGTAAACACACAAACAAAACAGTTATTCATGTTGCTAGTCAAAATGTAGCTAATTATTATAATTGTATTGTGAACAGTAATTGTTGTAATTGACTATAGCTCATTTTATCTGATTAAGCTTGAGAGATTAAAAATCTGAATAGCCTATTGAGATTTTTAATCTCACAAGCTTAATCATGTAAGCTCAATGTTTGTATACCGACAAACAGCAAGATATTTTTTAAAAAGTTTTTTAGCTTTTTTAACACCAAAAAACCGGGAGGTTGTTTATTTTGTTAAGTACTTAAGTTAGGTATGCGTATTCTTATTTCTACAAACATATATATATATATATATATATATATATATATATATATATATATATATATATATATATATATATATATATATATATATATATTTATATATATTTATATATATAGTACGTAAATTAGGTTTATCTGCTACATAATATTTTTCAATTAAACTTGTCATACATGTTGGAAATAATTAAACCAAGCCCATTAGATTTAAAAAAAAACCTCCAACATTTCTTCAATATGAATTTTATTTATATCACTTGTCCAAAGATCAGTTTAATGTCTTGATTAAGACATTAAATTTCAGGAAAACAAAATTTAAGCATCTTTCTTCTCCCCCCTCCCTCAAAAAAAATTTTTCTCTGAACAAATTCCTTTATATATATATATATATATATATATATATATATATATATATATATATATATATATATATATATATATATATATATATATATATATATATATATATATGTACTATATAATATATACTAATTTACAAAAGGATAACAATCTAATAATTTTTTTTTAGACAGATTACACTTCTAAAATACCATGTACTTTGTGCAACAAATTTTCAGTTAATGATGGATCCATTATTTGTAGTCAATGTTTAAGTATAAAATTTTTTATTAATTTTTTTCACTTTTTCTGTTTTCTATTTAAAACAAACTGAGATTAAAATTTGTCTTATAATTTAAAAATTTTTTTCTTTCGAGGTAGTTCAAGTGATATTGAAGACTTGAATACGTTTGTTACAACAGGTATACATTTTTTCTTCGTATTTGTATATAATTATTGATACACTTTGATGTGTAAATATATCGGTAAAAAAGTTATGTTTAATAAATATAGTCTAAATAAGCCTCAAGCAAGAACTCATAAAATTGGCAGTTAAAGTAAATCAAAAAGTAAATATTTTATTAAATGATGACTCAATAAGAGATTTTTTATTTTTGGATCACAATTTTGGGATCCAAAAATAAATTTTTATTTTTATTTTTGGATCACAATTTTGATAGGTTCACAGGTATTAGATTTCAATTTAATCTTCTAAGTTGTTTGAAATTGTTTTTAAATATTAAGTCTAGATGTGAGTGGAAGATCTACAATACAGTCTACTTTATTTTATGGTGGTAATTTTTTTTTAATAACTCTAATAAAAATAAGGATATAATTAAATATTTATAGGATTGAATTTGTTTACAAAGAAAAGTATTATGGAAATAGCATCTTCTCAATTGCTAAAATCTATTTATTCTGGTCAAGTAAGTATCTTACTTAAGTTTGTAAGTATCTTACTTAAGCTCAGATAGCTCAGTAGGATAGCGCGCTTCTATTATTGTGATTTATCAATTGCCGTAGCAGTAGGATTGCAGATTCAAATGTCATTTTTGCCAGCTTAGGGTACTATTTAATTATCTCTTCTATTATAAATTTTCTTTCTTTACTAGTAAGCAAATAATCTAGTTGAGTAAATAAGCGTTATTGTTTATCCTTTTATCATAAAACGTTTATTGTCTATACCTAAAACAAACTTTAAAGTCTACAGAGTTCTTTAAATACTGTGTTCTTAAAAATATATTTCAACATTTGTTTATTTATTGTGAGTTGTTCAAACATCAGTTTGGAAACAAAATGATGAGTAATATTTTAATGTAAATCTTTTGCAATATTTTATTTTTATTCAAGTATTCAATTTTAAATACTTAAAATCAAATAGTTTTATCTTCAACTAATCGACTTTTAGTCAAAATTAATAACAACTTACTAATGCTAAATCCTTAAATAATATTTTTGTATTTTATGTTCAGTTATACTGTTACAGACATAACTGGTTTATTGCTGGTGGAGAAGATAAAAGTTTGTATTATATAAAAATATAGGACTTAACACTCTATTATTTCATTTGTTTTATTTTTTTTATTTATTTATTTTCTGATTATTTGAAATGTTTTTGCATTTCTATTTATTTATTTAGAAAATCTTTCTGACGGAGATCTCCTTAGTCTATTGTCAGAAGATCAATCACATGATCTTTTTAATGCTTTTGTTTTAGCTTTTAACAAGTTGAAGGTAATCATAATCTGTAATATTATTCAATTATTCATTTCTAAACAAAGTCAAAAACAAATTTTAAACTCATTGTTTGAATAATACTTCATTTTCCAGTATTAATAATAATTTGTCATAAATGTAATGACCTTTTTAGGATAGTGACTATGTATTTAAAGTTTTAATGCCTGAATCAATTGTATTTTTATTTGCTAACGCTAGTAATGTGTCAAGAATAAAGGTAATCTAAAATCTGAATATTTAAATCTTCGTTTTTCAATTTTTTATTCTATTGAATAATTATTTATATAATTAAATATTATTTATTTATATAATTAAATGTTATTTATATAATTAAATATTATTTATTTATATAATTAAATATTATTTATTTATATAATGAAATAATGTTATTTTATATTTTGTTATTATAAATTTTAATAATACAATTCGTAATGATATTTTTCCCTATTCTTGATTTAGGCTGAAGTAGCTCTGAGTGCTTACATTTCTGAAAGGTAATACAAAATTTGTTTTTTTTTTTTTTTTTTTTTTTTTGATTTTTTATTTAAACTTATTTACCATTATTACTTATTACTATATAATTAATAATTTTTCTTTTCTTTTTAGAGATAAAAAACGTTTCTGTAGCTCACCAGAAGCATATTGTACGACTGTAAGACTGGTATTCAATCAATATTTACTTTTCATTTAATATTTGTAGCAACAAGTTGTAGGAATAAGTTATTTTTTATTATTCAAACGCTCAACACTCAAAAAGAAAAAAACTAAAGTCTGCGAAAAATTGCCGATCTTAAACTGTTTTAGGTTGGCATCAGGTCAGCAATTACATTTATTCACAAAAGTTCCATCATAAAAAGTAGAAACGTAGAGTATCAAGGTCGGCAAAAAATTGCCAACGACAAACACTTTAATATTGACGGTTAGGTCGGCTTTTCCAAATGCTGACCCTAAATCCAAGGGCTGTTCACCAATACTTTCAAAATTTTAAAAAATATCAAATAATTGAAATATTTAGCTGACAACGAAATAAGAATTTGATTATATCTTTTTTATTTTTTTTTAGATGTAGATTTTTCAGTTTCAATATATTCTGAAAATCAATTAATAAATGTAAGAACTTTAAAGTCAAATTTATTGAAGCAATTCAATATATTTTATAAAATATATTTTAGTCACTACTTGGAAAAAACCCCAGGGTACACCTCTGGTGTGTGTGTATATATTTATGTATATATATATATATAGGGTGTTAGCCAGGAATACATTTTATACCGCATTTTTGCGGTATTGGAAATATTTTTTGTTTTTCTGCAAATTATTGGGTAAATTAAGAAATTGTCCCAAAAAAGTAAATAAAAAAATAAAATTATTGGTTTTTTGGAATTTTAAACCCATTGGGAATTCCGCATTATACTCGGCACCATTGGGCTAGCTAACACTGTGTGTGTATATATATATATATATATATATATATATATATAACACTTACCTAAATAAAGAACTTTATCTCCAGATATAATGAAAAACGTTAAAGAGGCGATTCAGTTAAAACCAAATAGCAAACATCTACAGAAAAAGATTGAGTTATCGTCTGGCAAAAAACGCATATTAAAAGATATTGCTAACCTTCGTCAATATTCTAAAGTTTCATTTTCTGATAATGAAATATATGACATTGCAGAATTTCTCAAACAACGAAAAGGATCTGTGGTTGAAGTTCTTGTTGATTCTGATAAAAAGTTCAAGAGGCTTTTTTTTCAGGACTCACAAATGCAGAAGATGTACGAAAGGTACCCAGAGATACTTTTTGTAGATGCTACGTACCAGCTACTGGGGTTACGCATGCCTATTTATTTAATGATTGTAATAGATGGAGATGGCCAAAGTGAGATTGTAGCTTTGTTTATAATAGCCGAGGAAACAAAACCAATTGTTACAGAGGTGGTGCTAATTTTTAAAAAACACAACGGCTTTTGGAAATATACACGTGTAGTGATGTCGGATAAAGACTTTACAGAAAGAGAAGCTTTTGCTGTAGCCTTTCCTGCCGCTATGTTATTAATTTGTTTGTTTCATTGGTAAGACTTATTTTAATTTTTTTCAAAACCATTTTTAGATAACCGTTTTGGGTAAGTTTTCTTTCTGTAAATAAAATGAGTTTTTAGTTTATCTATTTATTTTTGATCAGTAGCACATTACGCCCATATCTGTTTTTAAATTTTAGTTGTTTTTTGTATGAAGTTTATTTATCACTGTAAATCATTGTGCTGTCCATGTCCGAGTGTTATTATAGGCATTTGTAATATGCTTAACACTCTAGACATGCTGATGAGCTCTGATATTGAGCGAAACAGACAAGAGGGTTTAAAAATATTCAAGTTATTTTCCCCAAATATTTTGTTTTATATTTATGCAAGCTTTAATTTTTGTTTTTACAGTTTACGCTCCTTTCGAAGAGAAATTACTTGCGAGAAAATGGGTATCATTTCAGCCGATAGAAATCGTTGCCTTGAAATATTTCAAAAAATATTCTAAATCAAGTATTGTGTACGAGCAGAATAAACAAATGCTTTTAGATACAAAACTAACTGCAGTGACAGAATATTTTGTTAAAAATTGGGATCCTATCAAACACCAATGGGTCACAGCTTATAAAGATCTATATTTCAACCTTGGAGAAACTACTAACAATCGTCTGAAATCGATGTTCAACAAATTAAAATCGGTTTGTACAAAGCATACGAGTATGATGCAATTTTTTATAGAATTTTTTATATTTCTTGGCGCAATCAGGAATGACAGAAATCACCACCACCTTATGTCTTTGACAAGACACGAAATAGCTATACCAAGTCATCCTGATATGATCTTATACAGGGAACATTTAACGCCTTATGCTTTTTCTTTTGTTATTTCACAATTTGAAAAAATTAAAAATGATTCATCTTTTAATTTTGAAAAAAGTGACGAAATTGGAAACTATAACATAAAACATTCTAAGTTTTTGATTGCGTCAAAAGAGTTTTGCAATTGCAGATTCATGTCTAAAATGGAATTACCATGTTACCATTTATTCCAACTGCGCAAGTTTTTGATGCTACCTATGTTTGATGTACAGTTAGTAAATCGAAGATGGACTAAGGAATATTATAATCAATCTCTTCGAGCAAGAAACGATACCAATATAACTTCAAGTGTTGAAATTGTTTCGGAAGTTGATGTAAAACCGGTTAAAACTTTAACACAAGCACAAAAATATCGAAACTTATTGAAAACTTGTCAGCTATTAGCTTCTGTTGGAAGCGAGGGTGGTATGGTAATTTTCAAAAAAAGACAAGCGCAACTGGAGGTTATATTACGACAATGGCAAAAAGGAGAAGAAGTGACGCTGGTGACAAATGATAATATTATAGAAGTTGATAACGTTGACTTGATGGAATTTGATTGTCACGTCACTATAACAGGCATTGAGAAGATCAAATCAAGCCCTATCAGTACAAATAAACATATTGATTCTATTGAGACTTTCCCCCTTCTTTCTGAAAAGGATGTTCCTCAAAATCCCGCAAAGTTAGATCTCAAAGAAGTATTAATGCCGCCAAAAATGAAAAACAAAGGCCGGCCGAAAAGGGCTAATACAACAGTTATTGGTGTCCCTAAAAAAAAGAATTATCTGAAACCAATACCATACATAAAGCTATTACCTAAAGATAAAGACAGATTTATTTTAACCCGCATAGTACAGGTTCCAGCTGTTGAATTAGCATTGAGTGGGGGGAAACTAATTTGTTCGTCAGACATCAAAAAATCAGTTTTTTTGCCAGATTCTCTTCGTGATGAGAAATCTTTGGATATAGAGAGGGTAGAAATGTTCTTTAAACCTGCAGCGTGGAAAGTTGTCAAATCTGCAATTATTAGCAAAAAAAAGCAACAATGGATTTGTTCGATTTGTAGGAACATATTAAAAGATGAAGAAGAAAGTATTAGTTGCGATTGCAGCTTGTTGTGGAGTCAATTAAAATGCTCTACGCTGCGAAAAACACCTAAAACAAAATATTGGTTTTGTAATAGTTGTAGGTTAGAATCAACATGTTGATGGGGAATAGTTTAATACTTAACAATATTACCCGCCCTTTACTTTTGCATATTTTGTCAACCCGATACTTTTTATATAACAAAGAAGATCAAAGTTACGACCAATTAAAAAATGTTAAAGTTACTACCTGTAAAAGCTTTACCTAAAGGTAAAAGTTACTGCCTGGTGTGTAGTTTTCATTTTTTATAAACTTGGTACTTTTTACATAAAGGTAAAAGTTACTGCCTGGTTTATAGTTTTTCATATTTTTTAAACCCGGCACTTTTTACATAAAGGTAAAAGTTACTGCCTGGTTTATAGTTTTTTATATTCTTTAAACCCGGCACTTTTTACATAAAAGTAAAAGTTACTGTCTGGTGTGTAGTTTTACATATTTAAAAACCTGGCACTTTTTACATAAGAAAAATCAAAGGTAAAAGTTACTGTCTGGTGTATAGTTTTTCATAGTTTTTAAACCCGGTGTAGTATGAGATTTTTACTCCCATTATTTTTTTACTCCCCTAAAAAAATTTTATATGAAATTTGTGCCGCGGAGTAAAAAATGCGTATGAAATTTTTACTCCTTTTATGAGATTTTTACTCTCATTAGATATTTTTACCGTTATGTTAATATAGTGCTTAATTAATATATTTTATAAAAGTTAAGCTTTTAATAAACTTTTTTAACTTAATTTATTTTCTACATTTTAGTGGGAGTAAAATTTCTTATATTATTTTAAATAAACGGTGAAAATATAAATTTTACAGATAATCTTTTTTAAACTTAAAGATCATAGAATATGCAAGTACTTGTTTGATCAAAATGTGTACTTGTTTTATTAAAAAATGAAGGGGAATATCCAAAATTGTTTTATTTTACTATTAGGCTATGGTACTTGTTGCAAACTTGTTAGAAAAGGAGTTTTCTAAACAACAAGTTTGCCTTGCTAACCTGCAGAATCTGAAAATCGCAGCTTTTTATTTCTTTCTGACTTTTTTTATTTAACAATTCACATCTGCAAAAAAAAAAAAAAATTTATCGTAGGTTACCCTATGTATCAGATAGGGTTAAGATTTTTTTTTTAATTAAACACATATTGTTATATAGGTTTATTTCTGGATTCTTTGCTTTCGCTTTACTAATGTGGAATCAGTCAGGCATATGAAAAAGTATTGCCACCAAATTTAAAAAGACAAACATTTTTATTCCTTCTCCTACATACCGTTGTAAATTCGCTTATTTTTACGTTTTTAAAACATTTGTTTACAGACTAAAAATAAAAATATATTTAAAAAATGTCTAAAAATTATGAAAAGAAGATAAGTTATAAATTATTTTTTTTTTTTGATAATATTTTACAACAGTACAACATTAAAGTGACTTGCAGTTGAATTGTCAAGGAATATAGCATGTTCACTAAGCTGTGTGAGTGTTAAACTACATGGGTAAGTCAGCCATTTCAACTTCTCTCCATATTTGCTATATACTTTTATATCAATACCCATGAACGAGGCACACCCAATTATTTCTGCATCAGTTGCCCAAGTTGTGTTATCACTCATACCACTTTCATTTAGATACGTTATTATTGATTGATTCATATATAAAGTCATTTCATTATTAATATGAGTACACATATGTTTAACAACTTTTTCTCTTATAATTTCATAACTGCATTCACTGCCTGTAATGATATACGATATTGCCCTAAAAAAGCAATTACCATCGCCTATGGTTTTGTGAATTTGTTTCGGACGTGAAAGTAGATTAATATCTGCAATAAAAATATTTTTGGTAATACCAATTCCAAATTTTTCAGAAATAGAAGTTCTCATTTCAATAGTTGCATATTTTCCGATCTTATCATTAGAAATTTGCATATTAATTTCATCAAATGTGATTTCTTGTTCATCATTAGTTATTTTTTCATTATATAAACATAACTTTGTCAAGTTGTACTTTGTTTTCAAAATTTGACCCTTTAGATTTTTCAAAAAGCAGTTATTTGTGCTAGAAATAGAAGTTACAATGTATGGTCCAGTCCAAGGCTTTACAAGTTTACCACCTTTTCTATCATCACGTCTGCTATTTCTTAGTAATACTTTTTTATTTATGCTAATTTCATTATTTGGTGCAATTCTCTTGTCGTAATCATGTTTTTGTCTTTTTTGAGATTTTTCAATATTTTTATAAGCATCGTCAAAAATTTTATTCTTCATTTTATTAATTGCATGAAAGGTATCTGAAACTATTTTTTTGTTAGAGAAATCATCATTGCTAAGAGCGTTACTATCATTAAAGTCAATTAAATTGCAATCTATATCAATAGGAAGAACTGCTTCCCTTTGGTAAAGCAATGCAAACGGTGAAAACCCAGTAGATTTGTGCTTTCTAACTCTTAAAGAAAACAAAACACTATCAATAATGTATGGCCATTCCAAAGCAGCCTCATCAAGCACTTTTACTAATATACGTTTAATTGTTTGATTTTGTCTCTCTACTAATCCATTAGCTTGAGGATAATATGCACTTGTAATTCTTTGAATTGTTCCTGTTTTTGAGTAAAGTTCTTTAGAAATTTCATTTACAAACTCACGACCTTGGTCATTTATTTGAATTTCAAAACAGCCATGTCGACAAATCTGTTTATACAAAAAAAAAGCCACAGCTTTAGCAGTTTTATCGGTAAGTGCTTCTGCTTCAACCCATTTACTGAAGTAGTCGATTAATACAACCAGATATTTGCAACCGTTAACTTCTGGTAGCTGTGTTAAATCGATTCCTACCTGCTTCATATTGCCTTTAGGAATTGAAATATTTTGCAGCAATGGTTTCGACTAACGTTTTCTGTTCTTTGACTTTTGGCATTGGTCACATTTGGAAACATAAGTTGTAATATCTTTTATCATTCCATACCAGAAAAATCTACTTTGAATGTGATAGGTTGTGTTATTAATACCTGTATGACCAGATAAAGCTTTAGACTCAACAGAGACATCGTTTCCTTCATGAACAAACTTTATTATGTTTTGTTGTTCATCTCTACTCCAAATAACTTTTCTCTATAAAAAAAAGAAGCTGTAAACCATCAATATAATGAGAATCAAAACTAAATTAATTTTCATTATTTATTAAATAAATTATTTGTAAATATTCGTGTTTATTTGGTGACTAGATTCTAGTTGCAAAATGGCAAAACTATTAAAACATTTTGAAATAATAGCATACCTTTGGAGCTTTATTTAAATGATATAACTCATTATTATCAACTATAAATGGCTTAGTTTGTCTTCTAAAATTGGCTTTATCGCCTTTATTTAAAACTTCTTTTGGATGTATTTGGTATTTTAAGTAACTAAAAATGTCTGCAAATCTAGAGTGCATGTTTTATTGATATGCAATTCCGCTAATAACAACTTGAGAGTAAAAATAAAATAGTGAGAGTAAAAATCTCATATGCTTTTTTTTACTCCGCGGTAAAAACTTCATACGATATTTTTACTGGGGAGTAAAAAAAACACGGGAGTAAAAATCTCATACTACACCGGCTCTAACCCAATAACCGTCATTGGAAGGGAAGAAAACTTTCCAGATAAATGCTCCTCCGTTATGTTCTATGATAAGAACTTTACGGCTTTTTGGAGAAACTTAACTACTAAAGAAAACTTTTAAGTTACTGGCAACTTAGAAGGAAGGGTCACCCTGCTAAAATTTTGAAGTAGTGCAGTTCCGTTTACTGTTTAGGTTTCTCTGTTGACTTTAACCGCCACTGCTCATATTAGAAAAAAAACAGCATTCCTCATACATTCTTTTTTACTGCACTCAAAATTTTTTGTTTGATACCTTACCAATAGAAAAACATTTTTTTCATTAGATTCTAACACATAAATGAATTCTAACAAAAAGCCAACTTAATTTTCTACAAATGTTTGCTGTCAAATTTACAAATCTAAAGTCTTTGACCGTACTCAATCCTTTGATTAAATATTTTTGAGTAATTACTGCAGAGATGATTCATTAATTGATCCGCGCGTAATTTGAAACTTAAATGTTACTTTTTTCTGTTCAATTTGATTTGATTCAAAACAAGGATATATAAAAACTCTTTTAAAAGTCTTGAACTGAGACCAAAAAAGCTAAAAGTTACATTTTGTTCTGTCATTTACAATGTTTCAAAATGTTTTAGTCTATTTAATATCGTCCACAATAGCTTTAAAAATATTTGTAAAAGATGCTAGTTATTGGTGAGGATCTTAAAAGATATCTAGCGTCAATGTTGCTCAGAAGGGTGCAGTGATAACAATAAAAAAAAATTTTTCTTGAGGTGCCCCAAGGACTTTGAAATCCCCAAAAAGTTAGAAATTACAGTTATTATTAAATTCATATTTTCACAAAAAAATCAATGGCTAAAAATAAACTGATCTTGTTTTTCGATTTCTGTTAAAATAAACCTGTATGATGGTTTTAACATCATATCAGAACCTAATGAAAATATATTTATGTAAATTGTAGAGCTTTGAGGTGCCACAAAAATTAAGAATAACAACTATTTCAAGTTTATTTCTGTCAGTTAATCATTTCAAGAACGTCATTTTGAAAGTCTGAAATCAGATTTTGTGTTAAAGACTTTCATAGCTGATCGCGACTCTATTCTTGCACGAATAAAACCATCACGCTGAGGTTCACAGACTGCCATACTGGGTTCAGTGACTAGCTTCACGCTTCTTTCTACATACTGAGTGTGGCATGGAAAGCTTTTAAATTCTAGCATTTCTGAGGTCAGAATGCTGTTTTTAAGCTGAGTCGATTCAATTGATCTGAGCATTGGAGGTTCAGCACTTTTATTTGATGACCAGTTGATTATGTCTGTATAATCTGTTGCTTCAAAATTTAGCGGTGGTATCTTGAACAATCTAACTGTAGGTTTAGCATCGGTCTTGTCAGATATCGATCTTGCAGCCAATACACGTCTTAGTGCTAATTGACGAATGTGGGGCCTTTCATCGGTTGCCATTGATGTTAATAAGTTTTCTGGGTGAGCAAAGTATGCATTTCTTTGGATTACAGGATCAACAATTTTCTTGAGCTCAATAGGCAAGTATCAAATTTATAATATTATCACCAAATAGGTGCATATACCTTTTGTATGTAAGTTACAAGAATGATCAAGTTTTTGTCTGGTTTTTCTGTAGATACATATAACTGGAGGATACGACTAGCAGTTGTTATCCATCGAGAATGACACATGGATCCCGGTTTTCGATTACTCAATTCAAAACTACATTAGCCACTGGATATTGCTTAACACATTTCATGCAAATACCTTTGATCTGTACTTAGATCATCTGCATCAATGCTGGACAACACATTGGTTGAAAACTGACAATTGGCAAGTCCATGTCCTTCATTAATTTTCCGATTGGACCACTAAATGAATTTGGCCCATATGTAGATCCATCCAGGTTAATCAGGAGATGTTTAATGGTAAATCATTCATATGTAATAAACATACAAACCAGTGTAGAGATTTGTTGAAACGAAGCTCGAGAAGTCAAATAACACCACCAATATTACCTGAGTTGACATTCGTGCCATCATATCCAATTGCCACCAATGAACTGGTATCAATAGCATTTACATTCAAAAATGATATAATGCTAATCTTTATACTTTGTGAAGATCCCTGTGATGTTTTAAGATGTTCCAGGTATTCAGAACCAGGCTCCTTTTACTAACACAACATACTCTTCGGTCTCCAAAGCTGGATGATATCTGTTTCCTTTAATGATCTGGCTTTAAGTTTTGTCCTTTCGACCATCAAAATATAACCCTTCCAATGTTTTGGCAGCACCAGCTTGTAAAATTTTTCTCTTTTCTGTCTTTCACTACGAATTTTACTTGGGTCAATAACATCAGATGAGTCATGTGCATTAATAATGCCATAATCAACCAAAACAGGCGATGCTAATGCTGCAGCTGAGCGATCCGATACTCCCCATCGATCACATTCACGAGCTAATATTGGTAGTGGAGTTCACATTTGAGAGTTCAAAATTTCTTGTGAGCTTGTATTATTAGTTGATGATGGTGACTTAGGCGAGTCTGTCATGAAGTCAACATCTTCATTACTATCTCTTTCGGTGATAGCTTCATCTAAATCACCTAACGTGACATCATTACAATCATCCTCCAAGCTACAATCTGGATGCGATTTCAAAGTTTCAGCATTTGTTATTGATTCACATTTATAAAATCTCAATTCATCTGCAAGTTTTCTTTTCAGTGTCTTTTCCTGCTGCTTTGTTGTTTTAATATCAACGTAGCCAAAAGCCATTTTCCTTTTTGTTCTTTGATCTGCAAGAAATATTATTTCATTTGGTGGAACTTTACGATTCTTTTCACAAGCACATGTCGAAAAGTCTTTACATTTACATGAAGCAATATCAAAAATTCGATTTGAGTAAATTTTGAAGTTTTCAACTTTGTTCAGAAACTGTGACTTCTTGTCCTTGGACCTCTGTTTAAACGGTTTCATAAGTGAACGATATTTGTCTTGGTAATATCTTATTTTAAACCTAAACCTAAAAAAATATATTTTCAGGAAATGATTTTCGCCATTTTGTCCATATGCAAGAAAAAAAAAAGCGTATACATGTTGGTAACAAATAATGGGAAATATTTTTTAATGCAAACAAAAACCAAACACAAAACTAGGTTTAATATTATAAATATTGTATTATTTTACCTATTATGTAAATCCGGATAACTAATGTCAATGTAATAATCTATACTACTGTTTAAAAGATTTGCATAGAATATAACATTCACATAGAAAGAAAAAAGAATTCAGTGAACTCTATAAAAGACTTTTTTAAACACTAAGAACAAAAATTCATAATAAAAAATCAAATCACACATTGTTTTTTTATGTTTTATTGGTTCATTTTTATAGCAATGGTTGGTAATTAAATGTTAATCGAACTCAATATAATAAAGTACTTTTGTGTTATCTGTTGTTTGATTAATCTGCTTAACTGTTGTTTTATTATCAACTGTTTTAATTTGATCAAAGAGATTAGTCACTAACCTGTCTTCAGAATACACATAGTTTGGCAAGTAAGCTTCAGACAGAATAATTAAAGGATTATATGGAAAGATTCCAAATGATTTAAAGTCAGATTCAATATATTTTGTCATACTTTATTACAGACTTTGGTTAAAAGCCCTGTAAAATTGGCCTTGTTTATTATAACCCTGGGTGATTAGACATCATATCCTGGGCTGCTTTGTTATATGAAACTTTGAATGGCTTAAATACAGTTCGATCGCAAGGTTGAAGCCAATTGCTTGTATAAGCAGGTAATTCAACAATTTCAATTCGGTTTTGTATGGCCATATCTATTAACTCTCCAAAATTGTGGGAATCAAGGCCATCCAAAATTAAAATTTGTGGATGTTGCGGTCCAATATTTTTTTAAAATGTAAGCTCAAACCACAGTTTTGCAATTCCTCGTTTAGTCCATCTACTTGGACTCCATTTGGTTCCTTCAGGGGCATCTTGAAAACTTTGAAGGGATTTTACTGTCTTCCCTTTTGGAATCACATGAGGTGGTAAGGCTCTTCCTGCTGCATTTACACAAACAATTAAAGTAATCATTTCTCGATTTCCACTTGTTCTCATATGTAAATATTTAGTACCTTTTGCAGCAACAATTTTGTGCACCTTAAAGTCTAGCTGCAGTCCTGTCTCATCCATGTTCCATATTACTTCAGGCTGACAATCTTTAATGACTTCTTTAAGTGCAGTAAAATAGTTTGCCACCTTTATCAGATTCATGCATTGATGACGAACTGATGCTGTTGATTCTGGTTGTCGAAGAGTTACTTTTTTGTTATGTCGATTGTTAAGTAGTCGCCACCATTTATTAGATGGTTTTCCATTTTTAAAAGAATATCCATACTTTTTGGCAAGCTTGCCACCATATACCAAGAATTGTTCTTTTCCAAAACCAATGCCTATCCTAGCTCTGTTGTCTGCAAAATCGAGTAACTTTTTTTCAAGATCAAGCAGCATTAAACTTTTTTTTCCTGCTTTTAATTTTTTAATATAATTTCATTTATAAGTAATAATTTACATGTAACAATATCTTTCAATTGTTTCGACTTTTATTTATTTTTAAATCATCATTTATCAGTTAAATATTTTTATAATATTTTAAAAATATTATAAAAATATTTAACTAAATAAATGCATATAATTAAGATTGATAACTTTTAGGACATAAATATAACATAAAGTACTTATATTAAAAGAATAAAATCTAATAATATAAATATCATTCGTGAACCTATTTTCGGCCTTGCACAGTGGGACATAGTGTGCTAAAATACAAAAAAATCACTATCGGCATTGTATTCTGAAAATATGTCATAATGGTGAAAATATGTTTATTAGAGGAAATATATAGTTAAAAAAACATTAAATATTAATTTAAACGTTGTTTTATGCGGTTATATACACGTGAATTTGACATATGTTTCAAAACGCTTTTTTGCATTTTTTAATTATCAACTTTCTTACGCTACTATTGTTTTAAATTAATTTTATTGAGTATGATTTTAAAATATATTATTTGAATTAACTTTGTTTTTTTCGCTTTGACTATTCAAAACAATTAAACGTAAGTGTAATCTTCAGTTTTATGCATCAGTGACAGGCAGTTTTGGCTTTTTTTTTTTTTGCTACTAACCTTTACTATTAGGTATCAGATAAACCGTCCTCCAATATCCTCCAAACATTTAATTATGTAAATTGGATGCTTAATGTATCTTAACTGCAATTTATCATAAATATTTTGCAACTTTTTGCAACTAATAAAGTTATAACAAATAACTCATACTCAATTTTTTATAAGTTCTTGAAACTCAAATATTTTTCATGACTTTTTAACGGCAAATTAATTATACAAGATTTTTTTAACCAAAGGTTTCAATAATTATTTTTTTTTTTAGTGATATATATGATACTTGTTGATATGGTGTCTTTCTCCCTCCATCCCTTCCCCCCCCCCCCATCCTTCCTTTTCCTCCTTAAAAAAATATTTTTATAACTTTTTCAGTAGGGGAAAGCGGGGCAACATGGCGAATGGGGCAAGATGAGTTTTCATATAACAATTCAACAAAAATTTTAAAAATTGGGTGAAAACGAAACTGTATTTGCATCTTGTATTTTAAAACACCAATTGGTTTTTTGAAATATTATTAACGCCATTTTATACAAATATGTTTATTTTTGCGCTTAAAAAAAATTCCTCACTTTCGGTTTCTCATAATGGTTGGTGTCCTTCAAGTTTAACTTCTTTAGAAGTAGTTTTAGCAGTTTGTGTTTATTTTTTGTTACTTTAATTAGAGTTATTAGCAGTTTTTAAAATTTTATAAAATTGGAGGTAAAAATTGCATAATAAGTCATCTTGCTCCGGTCACGTGACCAGATGACAAATTTATGAAGTTTTTATTTTAATATTTATTTCAAATTGTTATATTTGCAAATTGAAAATTCATGCAGGCAATAAAAGAACTTAATAGCATAAACATACTGAGAAAGTATTATGGCTTCACGACTTATAGTTTTTCAATAATTCAGGGCTTTCAAAACGTTCGCCATGTTGCCCCACTTTCCCCTATATCTAATGCTTTTACATATAGCGTATGTACTAATAATATTTTACAGACACTTGTCCGCAAGATGCAATAACTTTAATTTTATTTTTAGATGAAATACTTTGATCTTTTCAACTCTTTAAAAGATAATAAAATTTCTATTCAAGATACTGAGAAATCATATATTCATTTGCTAACATTCTTTGATTTATCCCTTGATCAGAACAATGAAATAGTTTGGAGATCAAAACTTATGAATATTTTAGCATATCTTAAATATCGCTGGACTGTCTGTAAACGCAGAGAATCTTTATTTATTAAGAAAAATACTAAATGGCTTGATAATGAAATAAATTTAAATGAATTTGCCGCAGGCAAAATAACCATACCTACAAGTTCTCAATCTACTTCCAGCGCTGGTCGACCAACATTTACTGACTTTCAAGAGTGTTCTTCAAGAACTAAGTATCGACGTGTTAGTAAACTCCAAAAAAGTCACTCGTCAAATGAGCTAATATTTGTTTCAAAACTTTCATTAAATAAAGAAGGAAAAATAGAAAAAGCTAAAGCAATCAACAAAATATATTTAGATAAGAATGTAGATTCTTCGATGCTTTCTGGAAATGAAGTATTGTCGTTGATGCTAGATTCAAATATGACCAAAGCTACGTTTCAACTCCATAGAAATGCAGCAATTGAAAAAGAATGCAACCTGTATCCTGCATATAACAATATAAAATCATCAAAACTTTTGTGCTACCCTAATAACATGATTTTTACTGACTATACTGCAAGTATACCACTGCAAAGTTTATGTGAACATACAGTTCAAAGACTTTGTCAAGTTCAAAATGAGGTTTTATGTATGCTAGAAACGTTTGACCTGGTATCTCTTCATTATAAAGCAGGTTTTGATGGGTCTACTGGTCAAAGCATATATAAACAAAAAATGTCTGTTGAAAGTTTTCGCGACTTGAAAAGAGAAGGATCATTGTTTCTAACTTATCTGGCTCCACTTCAGATTACAACTTATGTTAGAGAAACCCTAACTGTCATTTGGAGAAATCCAAAACCTTCTTCCACTTTATATTGCCGACCTTTAAGATTTAAATTTGAAAAAGAAACAACTGATTTATTACTTATTGAAGAAGCTACTTTGAAAGACGAGATCTTAAATCTTGTAGAAACTTTTGTTCAGGTATCTAATGGCAAGTCTATTTCATTCAAACATATCATTCAAGTTACAATGATAGATGGTAAAGTCCATACTGCTCTATCAAATGTAACAAGCTCTAGTCAATGTTGCAGTAAATGCGGGTGTTCACCAAAAGACATGAACAATATTGACAAAGTTACGAAACTTCCATACTCACTGGATGAGGTTCAATATGGATTATCTACACTTCATGCATGGATAAGATTTTTTGAGTGTCTCATACATATTTCATATAAGATACCAATAAAAAAATGGCAAGCAAGATTAGACGTAGAGAAATCTCTTGTTAAAGAGCAAAAAATGAAGATACAAAAAGAATTTCAACACAAAATGGGACTATTGTTGACTACCCAAAATGTGGAGGGTCTGGAAACTCAAATGACGGCAATACTGCTCGAAAAGCTTTTTCAAATGAACACTTGTTTGCTGATATTACAGGAATAAACAAGGAACTAATTGTAAAGTTGCATACAATCCTAATTTGTATATCAAATGGATTTAAAATAGATACTAGTAAGTTTCGCTTACTTTGTCTGGAGACCGCAAAACTCTACCCATGCTTGTACCATTGGTATTACATGCCTCAGAGTCTTCACAAGATCTTAATTCATGGAGCAGAAGTAATAAAAAATCTATTCTTACCAATAGGTCTATTTAGTGAAGAAGCTCAAGAAGCTAGAAATAAAGAACTTAGAAAATATAGGGAACATCATTCCCGTAAAAATTCAAGAACAAAGACAAACGAAGATGTAATGAAAAGACTTTTATGTACATCTGATCCAGTTATTTTATCTTATAGAAAAACTGTTTCATCTGTAAAAAAGAAATTTCCTCCGGGTGTTATTGAACTTTTTATTTGCGAGAATTCAACGTTCTAGAATATAGATCTAGTTCGTAATTTTTAATGGTAATTAAACTAAAAAATAAACTTTTTTAGCAATATGTATGAGCTTGGTATTCATTTTATATGGTTTCTATAATTAGTTTATAACAGTTCTAATAAAAAAAATTAAAAATAATTTTGGCACAAAAAACGCGATTTTATCCCACTGTGCCTTGGCCGGAATAATGTTTATTTATAACAAATATAATATATTTAATATACCTGGCCGGATTTTGGTCTTTCTACCAGGTGCAATAAGGGTAGGTACAATCGGCGGGGCGGGGCGGATCAGCGGGGCGGATCATTTTAACGGTACAAACGGCGGGGCGGATAATTTAAACGTTTCTAACATTTTATAATGCAAGTCATACTTCATTAAATAAAATAAAAAACTTTTTTTATTTTTTATTATTTGATAAAGTATTTTTTATAGATTTAGATATAGTTTAAGTTCATTAAAGAAAATAATATTTAAAAGGTATTTGCAAATTATAATTTTAATAAACGACAAAAAATATTATTTAATTTTAAAATCACTTTTACAAAAAACAACGTGATCCGCCAATTTATATCAAGTGATCCGCCAAACTTTATATATTAATCCGCCTAATATTTGGATTTCTTATATTAAACTCTTTAAGTTTTACCAATTGTTCTACCAAGACACAACGTGATCCGCCAAACTTTATGATGTGGTCAGCCTAATATTTTAATTGCTTATATCAACTCTTTAAGTTTTAATGATTGTTCTACCAAAAACAACGTGATCCGTCAAATTATACCAAGTGATCCGCCTAATATTTTTATCGATTAAATCAAACTCTTAAAGTTTTAATGATTTTCCTACCAAAATACAACGTGATCCGCCATTTATATCAAGTGATCCGCCAACTTTTATATAGTGATACGCCTGATATTTTGATTGCTAATATCTAACTCTTTAAATTTAAATGATTGTTTTGCGAAAAAACAACGTGATCCGCCAATTTATATCAAGTGATCTGCCAAACTTTATATCCCAGTGAAAAAGCGCACATGGGATACGCGTGGGTCTTTTCCATATGTAACACATGTGGGGATTATTATTTTGTCCCATGTGAGTTCAATATGGTAAATCCCACATGGGTTCCATATGGTAATTCCCACGTGGAATACGCGTGGGCTTTTTCCATATGTAACCCATGTGGGGATTATTATTTTGTCCAATATGTTTTGTTTTTTTGTTGTAGTTTTTACATTCATGTTTTCACACTGGTGTGGTTTGGATTGTTCTCCATAGCGACATATAAATGCCGTTATGAAAGAGTAGAAGCAATCTTTTACGTACGTTCTTCCTGACGTTAACACGCAGCAAGTTGTACTAGATTAGTGTAACGAGGGGCAAAATGAGACACTTAAGCGCTAATACATCTAATACTTTTGAAAAAATAAATTGATATTTTTCAATTCTTCTACGATCCTACTGGAAGCCTAAAAAGTATGAGTTGCAAAACTGCAGTAGTTTGGTCACCAGAGATCATTTATTGACAGCACCTATCCTGTCTCATTTTGCCCCCCATACCGGGGCAAAATGAGACAGATTTTTTTTTTAGTAATTTAAATAAATAAAGTTAAAAAAAAACAGATCTTTAAGAGGCTTAGCAAGTAATACATTTTATGATATATTACAGCTATAATCAAACTGTCACTAGTCACATAAATCACATATTGCTTGACCAGTATTTTGAAACGAACAACAGTCCGAATGAGCCCAGGTTGTGCATTTTGAAAATTGACTCCACTTATATATATATATATATATATATATGTATATATATATATATATATATATATATATATATATATATATATATATATATATATATATATATATATATATATATATATATATATATATATATATCCACTACAAGAACTAATAAAACCATACATGCATATATTAAACTTATGTATTTTGTTTATAGGTACTGCAATAACCTATATGTTATAATCTACTCACTATATATTTTATATACTACTTACTTTATTACATTACAATACAATAAGATTATAAAATACAAACATAGTAATTATAAACATCAGGCAATTATTTGCTTCAATTTAATTAAATATTTATTATATTTAAATATAAGTTAACAAAATATAAAACTTAATTCTATATTGGATAACAACTAAACATTTCAATTAACAAAATAAAAAGTAAGTAAATACAGTATAATAAATTTAAATCTACAGCATGTAAATATTAATATTTGCTTTGGTTGTTGTTTTAATGTAAAATATTAAATAAAAATAATATTAGATATCGGCAAAAAAAAAAATACAAACAGAATGTCTCGTTTTGCCCCGCATCATGTTGGCATCGAATAGCCTAATTTCCAGACTATTTTATTGAAGAAATAAAATACCAAAGAATTCTAATTAAAAAAAACTTTAAATATAAAAAGCTTTTCCACTCAGTGAGATCAAAAAAGGCTAGGAAAAAATATAATAACAACTCTTAAAAATTCGTAATTTTCGCAAAGCCGAGAGATTAAATGATTCCCCTTTTACTCAACTTTTTTATTTCAAAGTAACTTAATATATTTTTCATGACACAAAATAGTTTTTTAACACAACTGCACTTTTAAAAATCTTGCAAATAATAATTTGTAGGGCTAGCATAATGTTAAACGCGAACTGTCTTGTATTGCCCCGCTGTCTCATTTTGCCCCGCGTTACCCTACATGTTAACAGTAGCAGAATAACTTGATTTGACGGTCAGCGTATCTGGGTTATATATGGTAAATCCCACACGGGTTATAGGTTGAAAATACCACATGCTTTATAGATCTTAAATGCCACATATTCTAATTCAAATGCTATAAAAGTAGCGAATACCATATAAATGAAACATTGAAATTAATCATGGAAGCTTTCAAAGAGGCTTAAATTTATATGGTATTAGCAACTTGATGCTATTTAGGATCAAATATATGCGATGTTCTCCACAAATAATGTGGGATTTACCATAAAGTATTATAACAAAATTCTACAAAATTAAAAAACGTGTTGCAAAATGAATTTATATTTAAATAATAGCTATTAATAAATACATTAAAAATGAATGTGAAAAATATTATTTGTTCTTTTGTGATTTACACGCCTTTTGTTGATTCCATTAATAAAGTAAATCACCTTGGCTCGCTCAATGCTAAGGTTTTTACCATATTAAGAAAAACTAGTTTCTTCAAGAATTTCCTAAAAAATATATATACATATACAAATATAACTATAAATAAATTTTAATAAAAATAAATATCAATAATAACCTAAATCAACCTAAATTATATGGCTATTATAGATTAAAATAATAAGAACAACCGTAAGCCTTATTAGTTAAGAGCAAGCCTTATTATTAAGAGCCAAATTGAAGTCATTAATGACTTCAACGTGGACTTTATTTTACACATAATTAGTTCTTAATTTATTTATATATATATATATATATATATATATATATATATATATATATATATATATATATATATATATATATATATATATATATATATATATATATATATATATATGTATATATATATATATATATATATATATATATATATATATATATATATATATATATATATATATATATATATATATATATATATATATATATTGTTGCAGCTATACGAGCTAGCTTGCTAGCTAATGATGAACTTACGGTTAATTTAATACTAATACTAAATATATATATATATATATATATATATATATATATATATATATATATATATATATATATATATTACTTTAATTCATGTTACTTTACAAACCTTGGAGTCTTTATTCCCAATAACAGTGGTATTCAGATTAAAAATTTAAATGTTTCTGTAAATCTCCTGTTTAGGTTCTTCAATGTAGTTCGAATGTCCCTTAAATTAAGAGTTTTTAAGCCTAAAAAGTTGCCGAATTTCTTCCCTTTCTTTTTTTCTTTTCATTTTCATTAAAGAAAAAGGGAAATTGGCGGACTTGTAAACGGCGCACCCCCCTAAGTTTAAAACACGTTTTATTGAAAATGATACTTTACTGACCTAGTAAAACTAATTAATTAAATTAATTAAAGAGTTATTACATCAATTGATTATAATTGATAAATAGAAGTAAATGTAAATGCTTTGACTAACCATTAGGTATTGACAAAACGAAATATATATTCATTAATTGACCGTAAGAATTGGGACAGTTTTAGTCATGATTATTAACATTTCATAGGGGTGCGTCGTTTACAAGTCCGCCGGGAAATTATGTGAATTTTAAACTTGTTTCTTTTACTATATATACTGATATTAAAACAATATTATCATCTTAATAATACTTTTATTTGCACAAAAACTCTTAATTCGATAAAGAGAGATACAAATTATTTGTAGTACTTACATACTTGTTTGCTATTTTTTAAGATTAATTTAAGATATTTTTATGCTAAAACAAGATGCATGTAACTTCACCGCGAATGTAATGTAATGTTGTTTTTAACATTTAACATTATTTTAGTTTCCAGCCTTCAAATAAAATCCCATGTAAATCCCACGTGGGATTTCCCATGTGGGTAACTACCATATGGTTACCACATGTAACCCATGTGGGATTTACCCATATGGGTTTTAAGTCGCAAATTTCCATACGGATACCACATGGGAAAATCTGTCCCATATAAATCCCATGAATCCCACACGGAACCCACATGGAACCCATGTGGGACGCGGTTTTATTTTTCACTGGGATAGTGATTCGCCTAATATTTTGACTGCTTATATCAAACTTTTTAAGTTTTAATAGTTGTTCAACCAAAAAACAACTTGATCCGCCAATTTATAATATAAATAAATATAAATTGCAGATAAATGCGGATAAATGGCGGATAAATGGCGGATCACGTTGTTTTTGGTAGGAAAATCATTAAAACTTTAAGAGTTTGATTTAATCAATCAAAATATTAGGCGGATCACTTTGTAAAGTTTGGCAGATCACTTGATGTAATTTGGCGGATCACGTTGTTTTTTGGTAGAACAATCATTAAAACTTAAAGAGTTTGGTATAAGCAATCAAAATATTAGGCTGACCACATCATAAAGTTTGGCGGATCACGGTAGAACAATTGGTAAAACTTAAAGAGTTTGATATAAGAAATCAAAATATTAGGCGGATTACTATATAAAGTTTTTTTTTTTTTTTTTTTTTTTTTTTTTTTTTTTACCATATAAACTTATTCAAGTCGTAAAGCATAACATATATACAATTTGCAAGGGCAAGAAGAAGACATAATTTGTCTTATTACCAAGCCCCTTAATCTATACCGTAAATATAAAATAGCGTAATAAATTAAAAAAAAAACGTAAACTATCACGGCTGTTTCAAACGGAGCTTAACGGCTTCTTGTTATTTTTTGAAAATATTGACTTAAGAGGTGTTACTAAAACTTTTATAACTTTTAAAATATTAAAGATAATTTTGTTTTGTAAAAAGAATAAAAACACCAATAAAATGTTTCATCTTACGACATTTAATGCATTAGTAAAAAAACTTCTTTAAGTTTAAAAAAAACGCGACAAATGATGAAGTTGGCTGAATTCAAGAAATTTGATGTTACTTTTTATCAGAAAAAAATCAGAAAAATTTATTTCTGATAGTTATTCTCAAATATACCCATTGTTTGACTATTATAAAAACAAAAAAACCTTACTTAATTGTTTAAGGATAGCTAAAACAGACTTTATTGAGGTCTGAAAGCAAACCGCACTTTTCGCAAAGTTATGAAAAATGTAGTTAAAAGGGGGATTAGCTGTTAAAAGAGTACATTTTTAAACCTAGGAGTTCTTGTTTTAGAAACTTATTTTCCTAACCCAATAAATTCATTGCATTGCAAAATAAAGCCAGATTTTGATTTTGGAATATTTAGTCAAAACATTTAAAGCTTAAGCATTTATTTTTTTTCTGTGCATACAGTTCTAATAATATGGTGTTAAGTTGTTAATAAATAAAGACTCACCAAGTCTAATAAAATAATTCATGACCAAATTTGAGTTTAAGTTTTTGAATTAACCTCGCTTTTGGTAGTAGAATTATTTTATAGCACTTGAATCTATAGCCTCTTCTCTCAGTAAATAAAGCGTTTGAATATACAAATAGCTAATTGAAATCTTTTAAAAATTTGTTTTTATTCCCATTAAAAACTGTTTAATAATCAGCTGGTTTACTGATAGGTTCTTTAAGTTGTAAACTATCTTTGTACATCCAATTGATATCAGATTCATACTCATGCTAAACCAGAAAAACAATTGCTCCACTCAAAATTTTGATAACGTTTACAAATTCTTAATTTATTGAACTAAATTTTTACACCAACTTGATATGAGATTTATATTCCATTCTTTAACCAGCGAGGAGGTATGTAGAGCAGAGGTACTGCAAAGGTAGAACTAACTTCTGGTGATAAACATCGAATGAATATGTAAAATATCTATAAAAAAATGTTACATATAATGAAGGACAATATATTTTTTAAATTAAATACACAAACATACAAGATGATACCCAACCAACATACCAGTTGCTCTGATCACAAGTTAATATATAAAAGCTAGATCTTTACATACATTTGATGCAAGACTAGTATTCCATTCTTTAACCTGAGCAAAGGTATTGCATAGGTATAAATAACTTCTGAAGATAGGAACAGAATGGGCACCTACCTAATATATAAAATCAATATAATAAAAAATAATATTTTAAACTAACATTACACAGATATTAGAACAGAATAAAATTATCTTATATATAAATTAAAGATCTCATATAATTTATCTTACTTGTAAATAGTTTTTTTGTTGTTGTTGTTATTTTTAATTTTTTAAATATTTTAACTCAATTTGATGACCACAAACAAGACAAAGACCTTGTCTATAAAATGAATTTTCACCACGCTCAGAACACACAACACACTTTCTCACCTTAGAGGCTTGAAGCTTCCTATCAGCTTTGCTGTGCAATTCAAAGCGTTTTAAAACAAGATGCAGCTTCTGCTCCTGATTTCTTACTGAATGCAACTGTCTTAATTCCTTATTTACGCTATTATGCAAACACTCTCCCTCCTCTTCACTTAGCAACCCAATAGTTTCATGGAATTTTACAAATAGTGGCACATTAAAAATAAGTTCATGCATTTTTCGTGCGATACTTTCATTTGGAAAGCAAGCATGAAACTCAATAGAAAATAAATTTATATATTGATGAAGCTCAGTAATTTCAGCATCGGAAAGAAATTTTGGCCAAAAAAGAATAGGTTGCAACTTATTAAAAACACTTAACACACGTACAAATCTATTTTTAATTGCTTCATCATCAATAACACTACAAAGTTTATAGTGGTTTCTTAATACTATTTTGCAATGATTACCTACAAATACATTACCATGGTAAGCTTGTCGCTCAACCTTCATATCTTTAAGTATAAAAGAAATTTTTTTGGAGGAATTGGAGGAGTTTAGAGAAAATTTAGAAATATTTTTATTAAAAGCTAACCAACGCGCCTGTAGATTTCCTAATAAACGTAAAGCTTCTGCTGTTTTAGAACATTCAACGCTTTTAGCAGTCCACAATTCATTCGTTCTCACATTCTCATTATGCGACAAAGACAAAACAGCTTGACAATCTAAAGTCTTACACTCCTTCAACAATAACTTATACAGTTTTATACAGCTGAACCCTGGTGTCCCAGAACATCATCGATAAAATGAAAATCTATACCTAAGAACAACCTGACTATTTTGCCTTTTAGCTTAAAATCTGACGACTGAATTCTTTTAATGTTGTTGGCAAAATGCCTGAGAACTATTCTCACGACAGTCTGAACCCTGATACATACAAAACAAGTGAACATCGTATACAGACCCTGATGATTTAGAATTGACAACTTCAAAATAGAATTTCATATACTTCCCACCCTTATCACTAGCAAAAAGGAGCCAAACTTCTTCGCCAAAACCGACATCTGAATTAAGGTGGTCGCGTACATAAAGATTATTAAAAACCTCTTCAATATAAGTTGTCAAATTCTTGACCATCAGTACAGATAATGCTTCATTCGCAGATGGATAAATTAACATGGACTTAACAGTGACATGTTCTTTATTGACATGCATTTTCTGCATTTCTTGTTCTTGTCTTATCTTGGGCTCAGATGGGAGAATCCTTGCACCAAAATTACACAGAATACGTCTTAGTCTAAGGAATTCAGCCGTGGGCATCCTTAATTGGCTATGTAACTCTACAGCATCAGAAACACTTAACTGCTTAACTAAACCCAACTTATTTGCAACACAACAAAATATTGACTTTTCACAAGACATAGAATCACAAAACAACATAGACAAATCACTTTCTAAATCTGAACAAGTTAATAATCGAAGGAATATAAAAGCAAGTTTAGATCGTCTAGCTGCAGCATGCCTACCTAACTTAGAATAAGGTTTACCATTTCTTAACTTAACGTAAGTATATTTTTTACTATTGGTTTTTTAACTGATAAATTCTGTGGATTACTTAATTTAAACCCACAAAATAATTCAGAGGAACCAATGTTGTCGTAGTCTAAATAAGAATCAACCACAACTAAATCCTTATCGCTACTAGCAAAACATTTGCAAATTTGGCAACTGTTCTGGCTTAAATCACTAATTTTTGCAATTTTTTTTTCAATATTAAGTTTTTTTAGCAATCTTATATTTTTGGCACGAGCAGATGCAAATTTACGCTGAGCTGTTTTAATTTTTTTTTTTTTTTTTAAGTTGGAACTGCTCCTCCTGTTTTAGTCTAATACTCATAGTCTCTAATTGAGAACTTAATGAGTTACAATGTGTGTTGAGAGCCCTATTTTTAGAATTTAAATCTGTAATTTCAGCTTCCAACTTAAATACTTGCATTTAAAATTTTTCTATTTGCTCCATATTTGTTTTATTTTCAGAAGTTAATTGATCAATTTGATTCTGTAGCTCCTGACTGTTATTTAAAGTGAAAAAGTCGTCTGCATCTGCTGATTTTTTTTTTTTGGGTGGAGCTTGTGACAGTTGCATTTTAAAAAATTCTTCGTTTTTGATAGCTTTAAAAATTTTTTTATATTTCTTTTTTTGGCGTGTTAACTTTAGGCACATTTTATCAAACTCGTCATTACTAGGCATATCAAAATCAATTGGCAAAAGAAAACTCATAAAACTAAATAAATCACTTCTTATTTTAAAGACTGTCATTAAAATGGAAATGACATTGTTACTGATCTTATCTGTCCTAATTAATTGCTTAACAAAAGGAAAGTTACACCTATCTCCCCAACCATTTTTCCATCCAATATGTTGTTTTAGAATTTCCCTCTCAGTTGAATACATAGTTATCAAAATAATATTGACTTATTAATCAATATAATAAAAACAAATAAAATAATATTAATTAACAAATATAGATAAAAGTGGATTTAACAACTTATCTGATATTAGTTTGATAATCCAAAGAGAAAAATTCCGCGTAACTTTGTTTACTTTATACTTCAAAAATTGACTCGCCGAACAGTTGTTTGGAGAATATTCGTTAATAAATAGTTTGGGACGTAACGCATAAAGGTTACGTCATCGCAAAAAAACGTCAACACAAATGTACGCCTAAAACTAACAAGATTAGTTGTAAAACATGACATTTTTGAAAACATATTTCATAACATAGCTAAAGGTACGTAAAATAATTTTTTTATTTTCATTTGCATAAAAGGTTGAAATTTTATTAACTTACGTCATCCATCAAAAAAATTACGTTTTGCATTTAAAAACGATTAATTAAAAAATATAAATGCTTTAAAAACAGTCTTTTTGTAAAAAAATCTCTAGGATGACGCAGGAATCTGATAGAATGGACATTTAGGGTTAAGTGTTCCAAATTTCAGCTATCAAGTACAGAGCTATGTTAGGAAATCTTAGTTGGCCCAACTCATGTTTTCCGGAAAATATGCGAAAATTAGAAAAGTGGTTCTAAATTATTAAAAATATTTTAATAATATTTATTTTTATACCAATTAATGTAAATATTTATTTAACAAGGAAAGATAGATCTTTTATATTTTTTTAATTGCAAGATGAAAGCATTTATATAAAAAAGTTACTATTAATTTAAAGTTTGTGAATTTTTATACTTTTTATGCGGAAATACTTTTTTTTTTTTTGATAAACTCATGACGTCACGCTCGTTTTTATATTGAGTGAAACAG